ATGAAAATAAACGAAAAACGGACAACGGAAAGCAGAGCAGAGCAGAGCAAAGAATCTAGAGTGTCTGGATCTAGCCAGAGGACTGGGTGTAGGTACTCGGTGCACTTGGTAATAAGAAATAGATACGATCATACGAATCAATGATTTAAATGATTATTAACCTTTTCCACCATCTTCCTAGTCCTCCGCAAGGAAGAATGGCATCTTATTATTATTTGCAAGGCTCGAGCAAGAAGCAAGGGAACCGATTCTTCGGTAGATTGGAGTGAGGCTTAGGATTTATGCTAGTCGCCTAGTTGATTCTCTATGCTGCATTCATTATGATATTCATTACTTGTATCTCGCACACCTCTACGATACCTCGACTTGGTCTCCTATTCCTCGATTGTTTTAAACATTTACCTATATCTATCACACCTATTCCTATACCTATCTAATATCCAACATCCAATCTCCAATATAACACAACATTTCATCATTATCCTCTCCCCTCCTCTCCTCCCTCCATCGTATCACATTCCCATAAGATTTGACCCCCCAAACCATCGCATCGTATTGGTTGAACAAGACGAAAAAACGATGGGGCCCTCTAGCACGACGCACGCTTTAGGGAAATTCTTTGCTTTAGTTTAGTGTGTCTAGGTCAAGACTCAACAACATCTTTTCCATCCTGGGCTGGCTTACACGTTTCTAGATTTGCAGGTCCGAGTTGTTTCAATCCCATGCTCGCTTCCGAGCTTCCTTAGCTTGCGATGTGTTTTTATTAGTCAGGTACCGAATATTGTGGTGTGGGAATTCATTTGGTTCCTGATATTTATCTGTTTAGTTTATACATATACATACCTCCATCTATACACATACCTCCATTTATATATATATACATCTCCTCAACCCCTCTCTAGAACAATAGGACAATAGAACATACAAACACAATCTCAATCCCTACAATATCACAAACCTGATCATTCAAATCCAATCGACATTATCAATAATCACTCATCAATCATTCTCCCTCTATAACCTCCATACATATTCCCTCAAATTAATAAACAATTCAGTACCTACCTACAACTAACTACTAACTACTAACTACTAAAGTAACCAGCTACCTCCCTAGTAGCTAGTAAATAAATAAAATTCATACTTTTCTCCCCCCTCCCAGGGTCTCCGATCCATTTTTTAATCTTTCATTTTTCATCACAAAAATTGAAAAAATCAATTCTAGACTTTAGGATCATCCATCCACACACGTTTCACATTTCAGGGGTCAAGTCCAAACCCTCACTCACGCACAAGGTTCTTTCTTCTTTTTCTCGCCAATTCTATTTTTTTGGGGGGGGGAGGGGGGGAATTCTTGAGTTCTGAGAAGGAGGAATATGGAGACTATGTAGGTACGCTCGGTACGATGCTCACTCCACTCTACTTTTGCTTGGTATTTCTTCTACTTTTATGAGTATTTTACGAGTATAATAAATTCATCTGTATGTGTGTATGTGAACGATACCTAATACTCTGTATATACCTAGATACTTCTATTTCATATCATATTATATCATTTCACATCATTTCACATCATACCACATCATCCCACATCAACCCACACAAAAACAACAAACAAATCACCATCTCCCATCTCCTCAGCACAGCCTTCCTCTGCACTCCGAGATTCCGCACCGCGACGGAGTCCACAGCACGCACAGCACACCTACCTGCACAACACGGACCTCCAGCTCGTGTGCTCGTGCTGGTTCCTGACAGCGGTGATGTGCAGTGCAGTGCAGTGCAGTGCAGTGCAGTGCTGTGCTGTGCAGTGTTAATAATAGGTTCCCTAGTCTCCTTACCCTTCTCTACGTACATACATACATACATACGTACTTGTCAGATACAGATACAAACCACATAAAGTCCAACCTTCAACCTCTAATCTCCAACCTCCCATCTCCCATCTCCCATCTCCCATCTCCCATCTCCCATCTCCCATCTCCCATCTCCCATCTCCCATCTCCCATCTCCCATCTCCCATCTCCCATATCCCATCTCCAACCTCCCAAGAAAAGGAAAGGAACTGTGCTTCCATACATAATTACCATTTAGTACATACATATTAATATGTACAAATTTAACACCAACACCAACACCCCATACCATAAATCAATCCCCCATTCTATCATACCTCATCCTCACACCACCAAGCCGCCATTAATTACTACAGAGTAGGTAGGTATTATTCCATTTCTCAAATACTATATCTGGGTATCTATTCTATTATAAGCAAATAAGCAAGCAAGCAAGCAAGCAAGCAAGAGCATATAATATAATAAATAGCCTATGTGTATATATACATATAAATATATACACACATATAAATACCTATACATACACATAAATACATCTTTCAATACACCAAATACCTACCTACCTACCAACCAACCCAGTAGACCTACCCATCCACCCAACAAACCATACCAAACCAAACCATGACATCGACCGATAGACCCCTTCTCACTCGAAGAAGAAGAAGAAGAAGAAGAAGAAGAAGAAGAAGAAGAAGAAGAAGAAGAAGAAGAAGTTTCAAGATCTTCCTCATCTCCTCATCTCCTCATCTTCCCTCATCTTCCCTCTTCAACAAGTAGATAACGATACACACATGATACATCCCACACCAAAACGAGCATCTACTTACTAGTCCACAGGTACCGATACTAGACTCCTACGATAGGTACTCTCGTACTCTCGTGCTATACCGGTACAGTACTTTGAACCGTTAGGAACCGTTAGGAACCGTTAGGAACCGTTAGGAACCGTTAGGAAACATGGATCGATCCGATCCGATCAAATACCTACCAGTATTTCTCAAGCTATTTCGTTATCTTGTTATTGATGTATTCTAGACAGAACAGAGTATTTAGATCTTGATCTTGATTTTGTATGGAATACTCGTATCTTTGCGAGTTTATCTATGATAGTATATTAATGAAGTATAAGTAGGTACTCATCTCATTACTTACTACTTACTATGTACTTACCACCCACCCACCAATAAAAAAAAGATCGATGTGAGAACTCCGAACGGCGAAGAAAAGATCTTCTGCTACTCGTACCTACCTACCAGTGAGCGCCTCCTCCCCCACATTTACCACAATGGCTCGTGCTGTGCTTGCCTTGCTATGTGATAATGCTTGGCCTCATCATCCTCATCATGCATGTATTTATTCAGACTCGTTGGCGCCATACAATATCATGACTGCTAAGATGACGATTCGTGATACTCTAACGTCACAGATTTGAATGGAAAAGTGTTCTCTAGATATTGGAACACGTTAAGAATGTACTCAACTACACGTGTGAATGCTGATTCCTAACTACACGGTTTCTTCGCCCCTAAGCTCGTGCAGCCTCTACCTTATCAACCATTTCCACCGATGATGGCTGTTCATCCCTTCGCAAGCGGCAACGGTAATACAACGATTACTAGAGACATATCTGACTGATACATGTGATAGCTGGTATGTCATAGCTCAGACCGTTAATATCTTTGTGGCCAATTTCTGAAACGCGGATCATACAACCTCCGTAGTCTTTCATTTCTCAGCTGTAGTATCATCTCCTTGTCCAAGATATTAGTACGTATCTCTCCGCAATTACTCAAACGCTGTTAGAACAGACTCATCATCACATCGAGATGTCGATGGTGCTCTGACCCAGAGACATTTCTCTTCCATCTCACTTCACTAACTTCACTATGACGTGTATTTCTTTGGTATGTTCCCACTGGGATGTCAAGCTTCTGAAAACGTGTTACCCTTGAGAAATGTGAATCTCACTCCTGAGCTATTCCATCATCCAATTGTTTCAACGTTGTGGCTCTTCGAACTTTTTGCTCTACATGTTGTACTCTTTCTTCCAACTCTGCCCAACTTTCACCTGTTCGCAATATATCAACAGTATACCAACGTTGAATTACCGCCGCGGTTCTTTGCCTCAACGCTGATAACTCCGCATTTTGTGCCATCTGGAGAGCTTCAATCTTCGCGATTCGAGGTTGTAACTCGATCAGTTGAGCGGACGATTCTGCTGATGGGATTGGCATGTCAAGAATAGAGGTTAATCGAGAAGCAGTAGATGGATATGCGCTGGCGGATGCTAACACGATAGATAAAATACTGGACGTATCGAGAGTGGTAGGTAGTATATCTGGGTCAATGGATTGAAAGAGGTCGGGATATTTGGCATCTAGAAGGTATTAGTGACTACTACTGAAGCGCCCCCATAAACTACGATAAACTCACGTAACTGCAATAAATCCTGAATGACCCTTGATTTCGAAGCAAGTCCATGTAGAATATGTTCTAAATCTGCAAGTCGTTCATACGCAGATATAGATACATCGGAGCTTGTGACAGATGTAGTGTCAATATGACCACACACAGCATGTTCTATCCTCCGTAGTCGGGCTTCTAATAGATCAATAGTTTCCGAGGCTGTCTTATCGAATGTGTTATCCATGGTGAAGGATTGAAATTGGATGTTTGGAACAATTGTAATTTAATGTTCCTCAATAATCTGGGGAAAGGAGAGGGCTGCCGCCAAAAATGTACAGCAAGGCTGATAAGGTTAGGAAGTTTAAGTCTAATCAGTGGCTTGGCTTGGCGTTCACTCGCAATCTTGAAGATTGCCGATTGATTCCGCTTCATCACTATTCTGACGGGGCACTTTTTTTATTATTGGTCCTCACTCATTACATGCGATTATCAATTAATTGCGCGACATCCACCTCCCTTGACGATTACATCAATCTATCCTCTGATCACAACTTCAGACGATATTCACAAAAAACTCACAGCCGTATGCAAACGGTTATGGTGGCGCTTAGAAAATTGTAGGATCAGGACAGCTCTTCGAAAGCTCCGCACAAGTACCTACGTCAATCATTCCCCATACTGGGCACGCTCTCACCGACACCTCAGAGGAGAACGACGAGAGAGGAACACAACTAAAACATGGCTTCATACTTGACTGTCGGCGGGCCAAGCGGCAGTAGCTCAGAATCGAACCGTGGTCCACGGTAAGCAGATCATTCTGGAGGAGAAGATGGGAAGAAGGATATCAACTGATGGTCGCGTGCAGAAGGAAATCAAGTCGAACAATTAAAGAACAGAACTTGCCTCATGGTCAAGCATCGTGGATCAGTAGCAATGTCAATCTCCTCAATACTAGTATGTTCTACCTCGATCTTTCGGGGGGTGATGCTAACATTGAACCTTCTAGTCGTTGGCGCTGGTACGCTTGCTATGCCCCTCGCAATGTCACATATGGGAATCCTACTCGGAACATTCGTTATAATATGGTCGGGCATGATGGCAGCTTTCGGGTTATATTTACAATCTCGATGTGCTAGATATCTTGATAGAGGAACGGCTTCTTTCTTCGCTTTATCACAAATTACCTACCCAAATGCAGCAGTCATTTTCGATGCGGCGATTGCCATCAAATGCTTTGGTGTGGGCGTTAGTTATTTGATCATTATTGGTGATCTGATGCCAGGAGTCGCGACTGGTTTCAGTCAGGGAGCAGAATCGATGCCCATTCTTATGGATCGAAAGTTTTGGATAACAGTTTTCATGTGAGTGTGGCATTCTACCTTGAATATGATTATACTGACTTGTCTCTAGGTTTGTTGTTATTCCCCTCTCATATTTAAGACGTTTAGATTCCTTGAAGTATACTAGTATCGTTGCTCTGGTTTCTATTGGATATCTTGTCATTCTCGTGGTATATCACTTTGTTAAAGGAGATACCATGGCAGAACGGGGTCCAATTAGAGGGGTTGAGTGGGCAGGAATAGTCCCAACTTTACAAAGTTTCCCCGTCATTGTCTTTGCTTATACTTGTCACCAAAATGTAAGTTGTGAACACCTAAGTTTTCCGTTGGTATACTGACAGTCATAGATGTTCTCTATTCTGAATGAGATCAAAGATAACTCGCCCAAGCGAACCACAGGTGTTGTTGCGGCAAGTATTGGAAGTGCTGCTTCGATATACGTTTTAGTCGCTATCACTGGATACCTATCTTTTGGTAACGCTGTGAAGGGAAACATTGTTGGGATGTGTAAGTACTCTACTAAAATTACAATTACATAAAACTAACAAGTATAGATATACCATCTACCGCTTCAACAATCGCTAAAGCAGCTATTGTCATTCTTGTCATGTTCTCCTATCCACTTCAAGTACATCCTTGTAGAGCATCAGTCGATGCAGTCTTGAAGTGGCGTCCAAACTCCTGGAAGAGAAGTCATTCACCTACTGGTTCGCCTGCACGCTCTGCTCCTTTACTCTCAGGTGGTCGTGTACGACCTGCCGCAAGGAATGATACTATTGGTGAAACACGATTTGCAATCATTACCACAATTATCATCGCTCTCAGCTATTTTACCGCAGTTACTGTATCGTCACTCGATAAAGTCCTCGCATATGTTGGAAGTACAGGAAGTACAAGTATTAGTTTCATTTTACCAGGATTATTTTATTACAAGATTTCTTCACCAGATTCGATCCACCACCAACGATTAGCAAAAGAAGATGACGAAACAGATTCCGATGAAGATGAGGAGGAAGGTCAAGGTTTACTTGGTCAATCCATCAAGAAGATTACTTGGCGTAAAACCATCTTACGAAAGCTTTCTTTGGCATTGGCCATTTATGGTCTTTGTGTATTGGTCATTTGTTTAACAACCAATCTATTCTTCACAGCCCAGGGGCATTGAAGTTGATTGATAGGGGAGATTCACCTCTGAAGTTTGTATCGCATTTTGAAATCATAAATTGGCAAGGCGCCGGGAGTTTATCATGGCATTTTGGAAACAGTATGGATCAAAAAAAGTCAAACATGGTGATGTTTAGTCATTCATTAATGCCATAATTTTTTGAGGACCTACTTGGATGTATATAGGATTTGGACATAAGGATTATATATAACGGCCTTTCGTCATAATACAAGATATCATTTTTTGATCAAATTTGAAACTGATTCAATGATGCAGATATAGGTATTTTATGTTATGTTATGTTATGTTATGTTATGTTATGTTATGTTATGTTATGTTATGTTATGTTATGTTATGTTATGTTATGTTATGTTATGTTATGTAATTTGATTTGATTTGCTTTTTTGTAATTCCTAACTCCTGCTTTATTTTATTTTATTTTATTTTATTTTGTTTTACAAATGAACGCTCAGTCCATGCGAGTCCGGTGTGATTTGATTCCATATTCTCACCACAATTCATCCATCATCCATTGATCGATCTATCGTTCATGGATATAAATAAACATTCGTCTCCTCGTTAAAATAAAGTCCCTTGAGTCCCTCCCTCCCTCGTAGCATTTTCGCACCCATTGTGGTATATGTGATGTGTAATGTGTAAGATGTGAATCGCGCCATACATCCTCCTTCCCTTTCCTTTCCTCATTGCATCACACTTCTCTGTTTATCGTTTTATCATAGCATAGCAGAGAGAGAGAGAGAGAGATAGATATAGACTCGTCCGTCCCTTCGAATTTTAATTCTAATTCTAATTGCGCTTGAGATGTATGGTTTTGGGTTTGATTTTGCTTTGTCCTGCGAGTTTGTCGTTTGTCGTTTACTTTATCTTCTTTCTTGCTCGGGCTTTTTTAGAGGTGGAATTGGAATTGTATTTGTATTTTGAACGGTTATTCTTGATTGTGGAAAATAGATAGGGGGATGGATAGATAGATGAGGTTTTGGTGAGGTGCAGTAGTATGCATGCATGCAAATAGAGGGATGGGATATGGGATTCAAGCTAAGAATCGCTTTTGAGAATGGGTTTGTTGGACCTGGGGGGCGTGGGGGTTTTGGATTGGGGTGTGTATTGGGGTTCGAGGAGGCCGGCCTGGGGGAAGTGTGGTTGGTTAGTTATTGGGTTTTGAGGGGGGGAGGGAGATGGGGATGGGGGTTTGGGAGTTTCTTCTAATTCCCAATTCCCATCTTGTGATCCCTGATCTCAGGATATAGTATAGAAAGAGATGACATCCACACAAAATAAAAACAAAACATACCATACTCAACAATCTCCACGCCGTCTTCGACGGCTGCGCACCCACTCCCAACCAATACTTTGCGCGCAGCGTATCCAGACGAATGTCTTTGAATTTTTGTCCCTCGCCGTCCGCGGGCAGTTTGGGAATTGGATCGTAGGTGCCGAGGACTTCGAGCGGGAGGGAGTTGCGGGCTGAGCTGTGGGGGGCGTTAGTGGTGATGTTTGATGGGAGGGGGAAAATCTTACCGGGCTTGTGCTACGACGATGTTGTAGAAGGGCTCTCTTTTGCGGCCGAAGCGCGCGAGTCGGATGCGTACGACCATTTTGCTGTATAGAGAGAGGGGGTCTTGGTGAGGTAGGGAAATGGGAGAGAGGGGTAAATGGGGTGGTACGCGTAGATGGTGTGGATGTGATGTGATATGGATGGTATGGGAGATGTGAGATGTGAGATGGGGGAAATTATTTGCGATTCGGAGGTTCTTCGGGTAGCGGGATTTTTTTTGGGTGTGAGAGTGGAAGTGGCGGACATGGGGTGGAGGACAGGGGTGGGGAGTGGAAAGAGGAGAGGAGGGGTAGTGATGTAATTGTGCTTTGTTACGAATTGATGAGGTGGGTGAACTTTCTTTGCAGATGTCTATTCCTCCATCTTGGGTTATGAAAGTTGTTTGAAAAATTAAATAGAGGATTATTTATTGATTCATTTATCTTTTTTATTCTTTCGGGAAAAGTACGAGGTATATATTTATTTAACGGATCAGTTTGTCGTTCCATCGATTACTGAATATTCAGATTGTCGTTTCAAAATACTGATTATAATCGTGATTTCGTTTAGGTACCTCCAGTTAATCAATATCAAAATCAACTATCCGTCTGATGTATTAAACTACGCTATCAAATTACAGACTACAACTACAGATACAACTACAACTAAATATCTTACTCATACAATCACCATCCATCCACCCATCCATCCATCATGGCAGCCAAAGTATATCTCCCTACCCTCTCACCACAAACCTAACACAAATCTAACACCCCATAGTACCTCTCCGCCGCCAACGCCGCAGCTTTAGATAAAGATCTCATGTCTCTCGGAGCATTTTCTCTCGATCAATTGATGGAATTGGCAGGATTGAGTGTTTCGCAAGTGGGTATGTATGAATTACTGTTTTGTGCGGTTCGTGCTCGGGAGAGGGGTGATGTATGCTCGGGGTATTTTTATGAGGGTTTCTTGTGATTTGTGAGGAAATATAGCTACGTGAGAGGATAGTCAGGGAGAAAATAAGGGGAAGAGGATGGAGAGGCGAAGAAAATACAAAGGCATGGGGATATGTATTCATATTAGTGTATGAAGTATATCATCTCGAGACTCTGTTGCTTCGCCCATCTATCGTATTGGACCATTCAAATTCTCGTCGAAAGATGTATCTCCAAGTCAAATACGTCTTACCATCCCATTTCATTCATGCCATTACTCTCAACAAAACACAACACAACAAAACGACTAACCACAGCCCTTTTTGAATCAGTATATCAAGTTCATCCTCCCTCCAAAGGCCGAAGAATTCTCGTCGCATGCGGACCCGGAAACAACGGTACGTAAAATTAAATCCCATCTAAATCCAAATCCAAATCTACATCTACATCTCCCTATCCCTCTCCACCCAATTCCCATCGTTCAAAACATCAGAAAAACTAACGCCCCCAAAATCAGGAGGCGATGGTCTAGTAGCAGCTCGTCATCTCTGGCACTACGGTTACAAACCCACCATCTATTATCCCAAACAGGGAAAAAATGAACTCTATCAAGTATGAAATCCTCTTCTATATCTTTCTCTGCTCTCGCCTCTCGCCTCAATTTCTTCTTCCTATGTAATGTAGGACACATATATCTATCTACAGACTTATGATTTTTTTTAGCCGTGAGATATGAATATACTAATCCGTTGTAGCGACTCTCTACCCAGCTCCGTAACCTATCGATTCCGTTTACCGATGATTTTTCAGAAGCTCTGAAAGAATCTGATCACATCGTCGATGCTATATTCGGTATTTCTCCCCTCCCTCCTCTCTCCCCTCTTCTCCCCTTCCCCTCCCCACTAACCCTCTCCCTCTCCAGGCTTCTCCTTCTACGGCAGCATCCGCGACCCCTTCCCCTCCATAATCCGCGCTCTAGAAACCACTTCCCTCCCCATAACATCCATCGACGCGCCCTCATCCTGGGACATCGCCACTGGTCCTCCGTCTTCCGGTCCTGGCGCAAACTTCATGCCTCAGTATCTGATTAGTTTGACGGCGCCAAAACCTTTAGTCAGGTTTTTTAAGGGAAGACATTTTTTGGGTGGGAGGTATGATTTCTTCTTTCTTTCTTTCTTTTTTCTTTCTTTTTTCTTTCTTTTTCCTTCCTTTTTTCTTGCCCTTTGGTTGCTTTTGTTGGTTTGATTAGCTGGAGATATATATGTATACCTACGCCAGGGGATTGAGAAAGCTAACATCAATATCTAGATTCGTAACCCCAGAAATTTCTCAAAAATATAATCTTCAACTCCCTGAATACGAGGGGGTAGATCAAATTGTTGAGATGCCGGTTAAGGAGGAGGAGAAATTATGACGAATTACTAAAATATGACAGCACAATTAGGAGCACTAGTAGCAAAACTACAAATCTGACAAAATCCAATGTGTTTTTTGTTTGTTTATTCTTATATGCATTGTAAAATTCATCTACTAATCATAATATACATCAATTCATAAGGATCATCTCAAACGCATGATTTGACATGTGTGTTGAATCATTCTTCGTGCTGCGTGACACATGATTAGTCTGAAGATCCAACAAAAGGCAAGCGAAGATTCCAACATACCTCTTCGAATAGCACAAGCACAGTACCTGCTTTGCAGATATCCTATTCGCACGATTCATTAGCATATACCCCTTAAAATACTTCCCTGACCTCGAGATCAATAGAGACAGAACCCAAGAAAATCTACTCACCCCTTCCTTATGTACCAACTTAGCCACGACTCCCTTCTGTGGACTCCGAATCACCGTTTCCATCTTCATACTCTCAATCCTGCACATTCAACACGTTAGCATCATTTCACAAATTACCAATGAAAGGAAATACTCACACGACCAACGCCTGTCCCTCCTCCACCTCCTCTCCCTCTCCAACCTCATTTCTCAATACCTTACATGGCATCGGTGCCACCACACTATTTCTCACATCCTTCAATCCCAATGCTTTTTCATACCATCCCGGCGTGGCCAATTGTAATTGTATTTGTTTTCCCTGTTGGAAGAGTGTGATTTTATCATCTTGTCTGATCAATGTGCTTTCAATTCGAGTGTGGGGGAAGAAAGTTGAGATAGTAGGGGATTTTGGCTCGCTGACGATGTTTGCGTATGATTTTTCGACATTGGGTCCCTTTACTGTGATGTTGTATAAATTGCGGTCAGATTGGTCAATGGTTACATGGTAGATTTCCGGCTTTTCGCTTGATGGTTGAATGACAGGTTTTGTGAAACTGAATTCGCGTTGTACGTGAGAGTTGAAACCAACTGCCTCGCCATGAGGACCTTGGATCGATTTGGAACTCGCGGCAGAAAGTTCTTGGGACAAGATGCCAAGAGCAGCTTGGGCAAATGCTTCAGGCTCAATAGTCTCATTTATGAAGAGCTCATCATGATGTTTCTGTATGTATCCTGTCTCAACATCACCTCGAATGAATGCAGGACTTTTGCAAATCTTTTTGAGAAACTCAATATTGGTACTTAGGCCAACCACCTCATAATCTTGTAAAGCTGCGTGGAGTTTTCGTATGGCTACTTCTCTTGTCGGACCACTCACGATAAGCTTTGCAATCATACCATCGTAGTTTGATGAGACTGTATCTCCCTGAACAAAACCCGCATCTATTCGAACACTTTCCGATAGTTTAGGTGTTCGTAAATGGACAAGCTTTCCAGAATCAGGCATGAAATTTTGATCTGGGTTCTCTGCGTAAATTCGTGCCTCAAGGGCCCATCCACGTTCAGATATTCTTTGAGCTATCGTATCTTGATCAAGTGGTAATGGTTCCCCAGCTGCAACTTTGAATTGCCATGATACGAGATCTTCTCCAGTGATTTCTTCAGTCACGGGATGTTCGACCTGTAATCTAGTGTTCATTTCCATGAAGAAAAACTCATTAGTATCGTTGTCGAATATAACTGTAATTTCAGTTAGCTTTGAGACAAAAAAAATAAAAGGAATGTTTCTCACATTCTACTGTTCCAGCACCCTCATATCCCACAGCAAGTGCAGCAGCACGAGCTTTCTCCCAAAGATCCTGTCTAATGTTTTCCGCCAAGTTGGGTGCTGGCGCTTCTTCCAAAATCTTTTGATGGCGTCTTTGTAAACTACAATCTCTCTCGCCCAACGCAACAGCATGGCCATGTTTATCGGCAAAAACTTGTACCTCAATATGTCTTGGCGTAGCAATATATTTCTCAACCAGCATAACATCGTCACCAAAAGAATTTCTCCCTTCACTCTTCGCACTCTCCAGCTTCTCAAGGAATTCCCCTTCAGTCTGCGCAATACGCATACCCTTTCCACCACCGCCCTTCACAGCCTTTACCATAACTGGAAAGCCAATCTTCCTCGCCTCATTGAGTAGATGTTCAGGTTCTTGATTCTCCCCGTGATATCCGGGTATACAAGGTACACCCGCCTTGATCATAATATCCTTACTCCTAGATTTATTTCCCATAGCCTCAATAGCTTTCCAAGGTGGTCCAATAAACACCAACCCCTCCTCTACACACCGTTTCGCAAACGCCGAATTCTCACTCAAAAATCCATATCCCGGATGTAAAGCCTCACAACCTTGTTCCTTTGCCACAGATATAATTCGTTCACCATCAAGATACGCATTCGCAGCACCCAGATTCACCGCGAAAGGACTGGAGAGTGCGTGTTGTGAATTGGCGTCAGGATCCGTATAGATTGTTGTACATCGGACACCGAGATCCGAAGCTGTGCGTCCGACTCGTAGAGCAATTTCTCCACGATTAGCTATGAGGACGGAAGTAATGGGAGTGATTGCAGGAGCGGTGGCATATCGTCGGGAAAAGGAAGGGAGGAGAGCTCGAGCTAGAACTCGAGATCTGGTTGCTGAATGCATTTGAACATCAATTTCAAAGAGTAATCTCTAGATTCTATCAATTGTAGCTTGGGCTTTTGGGTTATGAAAGTTGAGATGGAAGGAAAAATTGCTGATTGTAAGAAGAAAATTATTTGTTTAATTCCTTAAGATTTATTTACGAAGTGACTTAATTTATTGAATTGATGGCCGACGGAAAGCGTTCTAATGCGGGGCTGAGCATCGGCCGAAATATATCTGGGGTAGCTGGAGAGGAAAACCAGCTAAACCCAAGCTAGAATCTCCATAAAAACTTTATCAAACTCGCGCCGTGCCGAGCGAAATCATCCTTTTCCTAACCTCACTCCGCAATAGTAGCTCAGCAACTAATAAACTTACTTATTACTCTAGGGGTAAAACGGATGTAGAGCGACAATGACTAACAAGTCTGGTCAGCTATATTGAAGTTTCAACCTAGCCAAGGAGTCACTTTGTCTTATTATTGTTTATTTCATCATAATACCTAGGTAACCTCCAAAGAAGAGCTATACTATCTATACCATTCCCCCTCTCATCTATCAAACACCACATCTGAGCCGCCTTGACGCAGTTGTTGGAATCACTATTCGGAAGAAACGGTAAATTGTTCGAGAAGCGCAGTCAATGCACTCATATCGGAGAGTGCAACTGGAAATTAACTTGATACCGGTGGATTTTTTGCCATTTTGTATGTATACTTGGTGAGAAAGAAATCAATTGGGTCGTATGGACTGCGGTAACTATATGTTGATCTATCATGACCTTATAGAATAATTTGTGGATAGCATGAATACTATAAAGTAAGTATTCAATTTCTCTGCCCATATGTAAATCTTTGGGGAGATTGAATGGACAAGGTGAAACGGTTTCTTTGCGTACGGGCATAGACTTGAACATGACTGAAAGAGCGCCTGTTATGCAAGTTCAATTGTTGTTTTGTTCCCTATTTCTATACCACATACACTCGCTCAAGATCCAAATAAAATGCTTCCATAATCCCAGTTCATCCCCCCGAGGGTATACCTCCCCAGCATCACTCACAAACCTATCCGAAAACCACATCATCCTCCCCCTCCAACCCATCCTCAAATCTAAACATCAAATCACTCCTCATTGTGTACTTAATCCCACCCACCACATCATCCCCACTATGCAACAATCTCCTATGTTGAAAAATCAACACCCTCCCCACCTTCGGATCAACATCCAACCTCTCCTTCATATCCTTCGAATGAAAGGTTGTAGCCCCTCCTCTGAGCATCTCCGAATCTTTGGGGAATTTAGGCGTGTTAGGATCTTTCTCGAGTTCTTGCGCTGAATCATTGAGATAAAGATGAATTGTAAAGAAAGAACGTTCGCTACCATCTGGATTTCCGTAGGCGCCATCGACATGTTCTTTATTTTTGCGTTAGACATACAGACCTTAATCTCCAGTAACAGGGAAGCGAATGGAAAAGATAAACAAACCTCTAAAGTACTGTCCAGAACCATATCTTAAAAATCTCATGCGCTCATTGATTCCTTGTTCAGTGCCCACCCATCTCTCACCACTCCGAAGTCCCAAACTAGCCAATCCTTCCCATTTCTTCCCCTCAAGTACTCCGATATCTTCTTTGATGCCCTTTCCTTGAAGAACTCTCTTCCAGAGACGCGACACCACCTCCTTCTCATCCCAGATAATTCGATCCGAATTCCTATATTCCGTAGAGAGGAATTCATATCCCACACCTGCATTTACCATTGCGGGAGTCCATCCATTATTTTCTGGTCCTTTGAGTCCATTCTCATTCTCATTCTCATTCACACCCTCATCCCCATCTCCATCTCCATCAACCCCATCACCGCCCCCACCCCCCACCAAATTCCCATGCGCCCCCTTACTCATCTCCGCCAACCGAATCAACTCCCCACACTCCTCTCTACTCAACACCCCATCCAGCACCACCGCATACGCACCCCTATACTCGCTCAACACCGTCTTCTCAAATTTAATTCTCTGAACCGTAATCTTCTCCTCCGGATTCTCCAGCGGGTGCAAAAAATCCTCCGGTATCTCAACCGGAAGAGATGTATAATTCGTCTTGACCACGTCGTAACCTCTTCTCCCACTTCCACTTTTCGCTTTCCGTTCCTTGATCGTTTCTTCTTTCGGGTTGCTGTTTTGGAAAGAGCCTGTAAGTCGCGAGGCTGTGCCTTTTAATTCAGAGAGAAAAGACATTGTGAGTTTAGTTGTGATATTTGCATGTACGATATATTTATTGTTGGTAAAGAGAGGCACCTTTTATAAATAGAGGTCAAGAAGGGTACAATGGTAAAGGTTATAATCGAAGTAGGTCAAGGAATTGGAAAGCACATAAGCTTTCCATAAGGCTATATTATGTTTTTGTGATGGCTGTAATCGAGTCATCCAGGAAGTTGTTGCCTACCAGTAGCATCCTACTATGAGAACACAGCCACCATCTATACAAGGCTTAGCGTCCCAAGGCTGACTCCATGCCCAAGCGACCCCTGTTAAGCGGGGATACATTGACATCATCATTCAGAGAACACATATGAACGAACAGTGTATAATTGAGAGAATTGTTATTATTTTTCTAGTATTTGGAGAGAAGACATGAGAAGCAACAATAAATTGATTGCTGATACTGAAAGAAAAATCACTTATCTGTTATGTCACTAGCACTAGCACTCGCTCTCAGAAAAATGTAGAATTTCAGTGAGATGAAAAATTGGGAGGAAGAGATATATTATCAACCCAGGTCTAGCTATACTGTGCATGTACAATAAAGTAGGTTCTAAAACTGTGGTACGTTGATTAATAACATCTTGTCTGCCTCTTCCACTCATTGGTCCATCCCTTGAAATTTTCGCTGGAGAGGAGTGATGCAATGAAGACGAAACACTCGAAGGTATCTGATGCTTAATGCTAATTCGTAAGGATCGCCGATGGAGCGTTTTATCTGAAATTGAAGGCTTATGCTGATGTAAAAGAGAAGATGAATGGGGATTTTGGCTTTGCCTCACACCAGGCCGCGCAAAGAAGATGTGGGGGATATCGTTAGGTAAAATAGTGAATGATTTGGACCGATGAATAATAGGATGATCGTCATGTAGATAGAATCCTATGTACACCGTCATCAGGTCACAATTCGACCATCACTACTTCTTCCGGGATTTCCATCGATGCGCCTGCCTTGATCAGTCTGTAAGACCTCAGTTGGACGAAATGATGAAGAGGTCGTGGGAGAGGCGGGTTGATCTTGGGCGTACTCATGATCATACTCATCGTCTGGATAATCTTCACTTTGAGTTCCTTGACTGTGGTTTTGATCTGCTGGATTACCTTGCTGAGAGTTTTGATGTTGATTTTGGCGATCCTGGGGAATTGACTTGGCTGCAGCCTTGCTACCCTTTTTTCCCTTTCGTCCTTTCGTCTTTGCCTTCTCCAGTAATCTTTTCCTTTCTGCTTCCTGCTTCCTAATACGCCTGTCCTTTCTTTCATACTGCCTAATCAATGCCATTGGTAATTCGCCAAAGATACTCTCATATTCGCAAAACTCGCAAATCCAAATATCTTCAGGATTAGGAGGATGAGTTATGTTCTGATATTCTTGTTGTTGACGACGCTGGCGAGCGGCGATTTGGTACTCTTTGCTCGCTCGACGACGGGTTCTTTTTGGGGGTGCCGTTTGAGGCACACTTTGCTTCTGCGCATGCGCCGATTGTTGGGATTTTGTCTGCATGTTCGAGCCCATCTGTGTTCCATGTGTCATCATTGACCTCGCAGCAGGACTTTGATGCATATTTGTATTTGTTGATCCAGGCCAAGGTCCTGGTGCCGGTACTTGAGAATCAAAAGTAAAAGTGAATTGAGTAGAAGTGGGGGTCGGTTTCTTCGATGCCTGTTGTTGCAACAAACTAATATTCTCTTGACCCCTCGATGGAGTTATTGGAGGTTCTTTCTCGGCGTTTGCAATTGCAGTTGAGATGATCCCTGCATTTTCGTCTTTGCAATCGTCATCAGTAAAAATTTTTAGCACAGTCTGAATTTTCGAGAGGGGAAAAACTTACTAGGTGTGGGCCACTGGGGTTGTCGTTGTTTTGAATTGCGGCCATTGCCCCAGTTACCCGAAACGTCGGATAAAGTTCTCAAGGGACTTCTACCATTGCGATTTCGGCCATATCTACCTCTTCCGGGACCCGACAAACCTTGAGATACCGAGCCACCGGCATGATAGTATCCTGCACCATTGACATCCTCCTCATCTTGACCAGATATTCCCATTCCTGCTAAATCGTTGGAGAGATGAACTCCATTGATATTTGAGTCTCCGGGTGTAGGAATCTTGCGTTTCTTCTTATTATTTGTATTCTCGAATGAGTCATAACCGTCTGCAGAAGAAGCAGTTGAGCCAGGAGGGTGAGGATTTGGATGTTTGGAGTCGGGCTTTTGGACATAGCGGTAGGAACGACCAGAGTTATCAACTGACTGTCTTGGGTAGAGTCGCGCAGAACGGAAAACCTCCTCCTCTTCACTTTCTGGATCTTCTCCATTCCGCCGCGGGATGTAATTTTGATCGACATTATCTACCTGCGGGCGTTCACTTGAATGTGAAGCCTCTACCATGGTGCTTGCCGCAACCTCGTCTCGGACAGTATATGGATAGTAGAACAAGGGAGTTTGAGTTTTAGGTGCGGGCGGGTATTTGATCGATTCGGCGACATTAGGAGAGAGACGTTCACGGAGACTTCTTTTGGGCAGAGGTCTGATGGGACGTTCTGGATGTGCCGGCGATACAACTTCTGGAGACATAGCTCGTGATGATTCGGACGGGGAGTAGCCTAACAAGCATTCAAATACAGAGATCAGCCAATGTAATATACATGAGACAAAGCCCACCATGATTCCTGTTGTCATGAAAAGAATTTGTGGTTGTTTGCCGCTGCCAAATTGGTAGTTAAGAGTGGCGGAATCAATAATGAGAGGTGCCACGCTATGAGAATTTCATACTTGTGTTCATCACCGAGAAAGAGGACATGACATGCCAACTACCTCCAAGACTAAATTTGCGCTCTTCTGAAGGTTCGCGTACGGCAGCAATGTATTTGTTCTCTTCGATTTGAGGGACAGAATTAAGTTTTGGTTGATTTTCCCTGAGCTTTCCTTTCCTACAATAAACAACAAACACATCAGCCAGAAATCTCGCATACAGAATAGGGAAGTAATGACATGTAATTTGTCATCCCTATTCCCAAACCCAAACCCTGAAATGCCAACCATCTTAAGAGACTGAACATAATTTTGCCTCCTTTTTTTAATGTCTGAGGAAGAAATGCGTATAGAGTTGCATACTTTGATTGTTTTAATTGCGAACACTCAGCAATGATTTCGAGAGGGGGGGGGGAAGCCCTAGGAAGATTTATTGACGACTTTGAACCCCACGGACAACAGAATAGTATGAGAGTCTGTGTTTATCTCTCTTATCCAATATAACCCTTTTGAAAAAGCGAGCGATGGTAAGAACAATGAATATTCAAAATCGGAGGAGGGGAGTTCGAATGCCGAAGTTCGAATTCACTGGTAGGAAGTGATCTTGGGGCGAGATAGAAATTAATTTGTCAATAAAGACCTTAATTATTTAGTCGTTTCCTTTCTCACAAATTGGTTACGTTCATTGCAGGTGAACCGAAGATGTTGATGCCCTCCAAGTGCGTTAGCTAAGATTAGATAGCTAAACTTAAATAGGGAAGGCGTGGATCAAAGTACCAAATGATTTCGAAATCACGTTGATGAATGTGGGAAAGTGAAGGGGCAGAAATTATAATGCTGGTACCTGGATGCCCGCCATGCTTTATGGAAGATTTAATTGGCACAGCAGTATCGAGGCAGGTGTGTTAATCATTCATCTATCTGTATCTATCCACCTACTGAGATACCCGTGGACTACTGGGTACTCATAAAAACGGTATCTATCTACTTATTAGACAGTCTCTCACAGTACTTCCTTGATGAATGACAGCAAGCACTAGGTCACCAATACTCAACGGTATTGATGGAAAAAAGTCAATTGCTAAAAATACTGAATAGTATAACCTAGCTCGCCTAGGTACTGTCTAGGTACTTATGCACGCCGTGGATATACTAGCACTGCTGAACGACTCTTGATTGATGTCATCTAGATCACTTATCATTAATAATGCATACCCAGATAGGTAGCATATATCTACCACCTATGAATGAGCTCGTAGATACTTGGGTTGTATGACTCTGTAGATCTACCTAGTAGATACTAATTAAGGACTTCGCTTGTGATAAGTATATCGATAGAAAAAATTCAATGATTACTAGATTGACCATCGCCTTGCCATATGTTTATTGTCAATTTAAATCAATCAGGCGTCACTGGAAAATCTCATTGATTGATAGTATATGTATATAATATATAATATATACAATATACAATATATACAATATATACTGATTACTATTTATGGATGGGGGCAAGCCCCCAAACCCCCATAGCTCGCTGCGCTCGAAGATATCTCTCTTTTTCCTTTCCACATAGTCTGCCTCCACGGCAGTGGCTCCCAGAGGGCCAGCGGAGCGTCATTCAATCAATTGATGGAAGAACCCTCTGAGATATTGATATTTCCCATACCTAACACTTTCTTCAACCACGTCCGGGCTGAATACCCAGAAGACCCGGTCTATCAAACGTATCAATCGTACAGTAGGCAATATGAGGCAATTGTACCTACCTACTACCACGAGTAGGTAATAATAAGTATTGTGCTCACCAGTGGCTGGTCGTTTTGTGGATGATGCGGTAGGTCCATGGAAGTTATCATTGGTTCACACAACCTTCCATATAAAAGAAAAAAGAGGAGAGAAGATCCAATTGCGTTTAGTAACTCTTCAATATTAACAAGGAAATGTGAAGGCAATATTCTCATTGGTCGGTATTTTTCCATTAGTCACTCCAAAGTTTCCCTTCGCTCTTCACATTTTCCGGACGGAATTTGGCCTATGCCTCTACCTATGCCTAAGCACAATACTTACTCACTAGGGAATTTGGCGGGGACGAAAGGGCAGCTTGGAATTTAGTAAATTATTTCCTTTCGCTCTTCCTCACTCCTCACTCTCTTCACACCCGCAGTCATGATTACACCAGGAAACTTTATCCACCTTCCTATTTATCAGATCGCATATCTTCGGGTTCCAATTTGGTTCTCTAAGCTCTAATCCATACTCAATCGTTTTCCAAAACTCACGTCGCCTTCCTTCTCTTTTCATTCGACTCTTGGTTTTGGTTTGGGAAGACTGGAATTAAAAGCTTCTCGTCGAAGTAGGAGGAGGACTTCAATTACAATCTCAATTCACAAATTACAAATTACACATTACATACACGCTCGAGATTTACCAGAATTTTAATCTATTTCGCACATACCAAATCTCGAATTCAATATTACCTTTGTACTATTATAATCGTTGGGGATGGATACTACTAGGCGTTCGTCAAGGGCTGCTCGAGGCAGTCAACCTTCTCAAACTAATTCTCATCATTCTTCAGCTTCCTCGAATTCTTCTAGTCGCGCAGAGAGATCTACTCGCTCAAATAATAAAGTCGAATCTCCACGAAAGTCGACTCCAGCCGCCTCACTTTCCTCGGACTCTCCTGACGACACAATCACGGCCGAAGATAGTTCCTCGACACGTCGAAAGCGAGGCCGAGTTGATGGAGGTGATAAGATACAAAAAGGACAATTAGTTGATGAAGACATAGTCATTGGTGCAGATGAGGGAGGCGATGACGATGAAGCTGTTCGATGCATCTGCGGTTACGATGAATATCCCGGACCGCCACAACTCGAGGACGACGATAACAAGAACAATATAAAAGATGGAATTGAGGAGCCGGTCATAACAGCAGCGGATTTCACAGAAGATTTGGCTGGATTTTTCTTACAATGCGACGTTTGCAAAGTCTGGCAACACGGCGGATGCGTTGGAATCATGAACGAAGATACAAGTCCCGAAGAATACTTTTGCGAACAATGTCGTAAAGAACTTCACAGAATCCGTTCGGCGTCAAATGGGTGAGTCCTTTTTTTCGCATCAATCACATATACCCCCATTCAAGAGATTCACTCGAATTGTCAGCATCCACGCGAGACCGTGGCGCAGATCGAAGTCTCACAAGATTGATTTTTTAATTGCGCAAGAACCTTAAACAAATAATCCCAACTCAAGAAAAAATCGATGATAATTCTGACATGATGGATCGCAGACAACGCTACTCTTTATACCTACCCCTTCACCCGAATCTCTCCAGAACAACCTCTCGAGCGGCTTCATTTTCCAAAGACGGCACAAGATCACCGAAAGGTGGCAAGAATGGTCGACCCAGCTCCAGCTCTGCAAGCACAAAGAGGCGCTCAACAATGAATAGTAGAGATGCTGCTTACTTTGAAGCTGCTGAAGAAGAAGCACTTCGAAAAGCCATAGCAGCTAGCGTCGCAGATATCCCAGAAAGTATTGATGGCCGGAGTCGCAAAGCAAAAAGAAGCCGGAGTGACAGCGAAGAGTAAGTAAATGACATTCTATTCGCGCAAATTGCTCTAATTACTCTTAGTAGCAAACACGATGGACCCAAAAGACAACGGACGGACTCGGCTTCTCCTACTCCTGAAGACGATGAGAAACCACAAGAGGCACCCCACTCTCAAGCAGAATCTGAGGACAGCACAATCGTGGGAAATGGTCGATTTGGAGCAGCTAAGAAGATAAGGGGAGCAGCAGCTAAAAACCATAGAGAAAAGGAATTAAGAGAAGAACGAGAAAGGTCGAGGCTGGAAGCCGCAAACAAAAGAAAAGGTCGAGCTGAACGGCGAAGAATTGAAGGTCAGTACACTCAAATACGTTATGATGTAGCAACAACTCACAGTCGCCTAGATTCTGAGCCTGTTGAAGAGACTCCGCCGGCGATAAAACCTCCAAGCAAGAACCCCGAGGTATCTGCCCAACCTCCAGATCCGCCCCCAGTGTCACAAACGATAGCGCCAGATACACCTCCTCCAGTTCTGCCGCCAGTTTCGCATAAGAAGGGTGGCAGACCTCCCAATCCTCGAAAGGGTAAATCGGGCAAAAACCAGTACACTAGGGAAAAGGACGATAACAACGCTCAATCTCCCAACCGATCTCAATCTAGAGATATTCCGCGTACAGACGATAACGTACAGACAACAACTAGCAGAGCTTCACATAACGAGAGCAAGACTAGTAAGGCAAAGACCAGCGTAGGAAGCAAAATTAGTATGGCTGAGATGAGGAAACGTGCTACAAATATCCTCGATTTCATATCACGAACTCAAATTGAATTGGCTGCAGACCCGTCAATACTTCCAAGTGGCAGTGGGGCAGAGAAATCTCTTCGGGGACTGGTCGAGGAGACTCTCCCTTTGATACAACTTAATGGCGCAAACGGAAAACAGGTGGCTCGAGGTGAAAGTGAAACACCAAAGGAATTTAAGGATTTAACGTGTCTGGAAATGATGGACATTCTTACTAGGCAATTAGTCAAATGGCAAAAGGAGTATGCATGAAATCTGGCGGGTCAACGAATGTGGGTTTTATATTACTGGTTTTGGGGTTGGAGTTTGTATGTATATCATGGGTTTCGAATGGCTATACGGCGCCCAGAGGCATATTGATTCTATACCCTACTTCACGGCTACGTTAGTTAATGGCATTGGCATATTCTCAACTTAGACTTTGTAAGCTGATTACAAATTGTGATGAGATGTGAGTGGTTCAGCTGATCAACCAGTCGTCTAAGGACAGTGACTTATTGCTGCACGACTCAGGGCTTTTTATGTGGTATTGTTATCTAGAAGCGTCGTATCCGATCGTACATGTGACAAGTTGCGGCAGGACTGAAGAAAAAGCAAGATTCACCTATGAAATCCCGGCTCTTGTACAACCATGCGCGGATGGCGCCGCAAAATATGCAAATGGATAGGATAGGATATGGTACATACCATATGAGCAAGTGTGAATAGATTGTGTACGAACAGATTGTGTACAAACATAAAGGGAATCCTTTATATATGTATGGTCATCCTGTACTTTTAGCTGCACCTTCAGCATCTTGTTGTCTTATTGTCTCTTCTATATTGTACTTTGGTAGATATTACTCTGGTAAATCGGCAATATCTTATAGCTTTTTGATTCTCTATTTAAAATAGATCTTAAGATGGATCTTGAAGTCGAGGGAAAAGTAGCCATCGTCACCGGCGCGGGTTCAGGTACTCTCCTCTCTCTCTTAACCCCCACCTTATTTCCACCCTCTCACATACTATCTCCAGGAATAAATCTCGCATTCGCGACTCTCCTCCTCTCAAAAGGTTGCAATGTGGTTATAGCCGATCTCTCCCTCCAACCCGCCGCAACCCAACTCCTCACCACCTACACCTCCACTTCCCCAGATTCCTCATCCCCCGGTACCCCCACACCCCCACAATGTCTGTACCACTCCACCGACGTCACATCTTGGCCTGCGCTCACCTCCCTCTTCGAATCCACCCTCTCCCATTTCCCAGCAGGAATAGACATCCTCGTCCCCGGCGCCGGACTCTTCGATCCCCTCTTCTCCAACTTCTACAATCCCCCTGGTACCCCCCTCTCCCAAGATACCCACCATCTCCACCCCCCTCCCTCTCTCGAGAAACCCCTCCAAGGAAATCAATCAAACATCACATCTCCCAACGTCAACCCCTTCCCCGGCTCCTTCCACACCCTCAACGTAAACATCACGCATCCAATCCGTCTCACGCAAATGGGCGTCGAGTATTGGACTTCGTCCCGCAGAAGCGGAAGAGTCATTTGTGTGGGGAGTGTAGCCGGGCAAATAGGAGTCATGGAAACTCCGCTGTATCACGCGAGCAAATTTGCGATTACGGGGTTTGTGAGGAGTGTGGCGGGGTTGGAGGAGTTGGGGATTAGGGTCACGGCGATTGCGCCGGCGCTTGTGCAGGTGAGGTTTCTTGTTCTTTTTCTTTGTGGTTTGTGGTTTGTTGGATGGGAGGGTGGGTCTTTTTGGATGGAGTTGCAGATGAGGAGACTTTATTGACCTTTTCAAAGACACCAATCTGGTCTCATCAACCCGACAAAATGACCATGTTAACCTCGGATCAAAGATGGATTCCCGCTGAAGCCGTCGCAGAAGCTATGTTAGAACTACTTACTCGTGCAGAATATGTGGGCGGAACGATTTTGGAGGTGAGTGGGTGTGGGACGAGGGTTGTGAAGATGATTGGGGTTAGTATTATTTCTATTCGTGTTGTGTTTTGGGATGTAGAGGGGTGGTGGGAAGGAGTGCGAAGAGAGACTGTCATGTATGTGTGTGTGTGAAGATTGAAACTGATGTGTGTGCATGTAGGATGAAGGACCGACGTTTGAGCCGGGGTATATGATTGGGAATTTGCAGGGGTATAAGGAGGAGATTTATCAGAAATTGAGGGAGGGGAAGATGGGGATGTGAAGGTTTGTGATTTCAAGGACTTGATCAGAGAACGGAGATGACTACGATGGGATCGAGGAAGCAAATTGAGGATGTTGCATTTGTGGAAATTGAGACTGGCTTCAACAGCTGGCTTCTGTTACTGTACTAGACAAGATTTCGTATCGAGCAAATTCACGTGGGGTAGATCGATGAAGAAAAAAGAACTCTAATCATTGCTGCGGTATACTACATGTGACAAGAAGCCCATCGCTATGCTCAATCTAAAAAACACGCTCCCTCTTTATGCACTAAATCCACTATATTCTTTGTTGAAAGCTCTGCCTATTACCACTTTTCTGACTTCGGTGGTTCCAGCACCAATTTCATAGAGCTTTGCATCACGCAGTAATCTCGAAGCAGGCATTTCCTCAACATAACCCATGCCACCCAACAATTGTATACAATCCAATGAGACTTCCGTGGCTCGCTCAGCAGCATACATAATAGCTCCAGCACAGTCTTGCGTCCTGATATTGCCTGTTTCATCAACAGTCCTTGCTGTATCATATGTATAAGCTCTCGAAGCTTGTAGCTTTGTATACATATCTGCAAGTTTTCCTTGGACGAGTTGATTGTGTGCGATAGGTTGACCGAATTGCTTGCGTTGATGTGTGAATGGAAGTGCAACATCCAAAGCAGCTTGCATGATACCTAATGGTCCAGCACTTAACACTAATCTCTCAATGTCAAGTCCTTCCATCAGTACCTTGACTCCTCTGTTGACCTCGCCCAAGATATTTTCTTCGGGCACAAATACCCCCTCGAAAACTAATTCTCCAGTATTGCTTCCTCTCATACCCATCTTGTCTAATTTTCTCGCACAACTGAATCCCTTGAATCCTTTTTCGACTAAGAAGGCCGTAATTCCCTTCGAGCCCTTCTCAGGCTCAGTCTTCGCATAAACCACAATAACATCTGCATCTGGTCCATTGGTAATCCACATCTTCGTCCCATCCAACACATAGCCACCATCTACTTTCTTTGCTGTCGTCCTCATACTGACAACATCACTCCCTGCGCCACTCTCGCTCATAGCCAATGCACCAATCTTACTCCCATCAATCAACCCCGGCATATACTTCATCTTCTGGTCCTGATTACCATTCAATTGTAATTGATTCACACACAATTGTGAATGTGCAGCATAACTCAATCCAATACTACCCGAGGCACGAGATATTTCTTCCATCACAATACAATGTGCTTGGTAACCCATAGCCAGTCCACCCACATCTTCAGAAGCAGTTATACCAAGGAACCCTGCATCGCCGAATTTTTGCCACATGGAATTGGGAAATGCATTCGATTTATCGGTTTCAGCTGCGAGCGTTTCAGGGATTTCCCGTCGTGTGAATTCTTGGACTCGTTCGCGGAGCTCAATCAGATCAGAGGAGGTTGGTGGCTCGAAACCAGCGGGGTGCTTGGATGATGCATTACGTCGACGGATTGTGGATATGGGGATGGAAGGTTTGATGTGGAGATGAGATATAGGTCGAGTAGTGAGCGATCGAAGACATTTTATTGAGGAAGCCATTTTTGTTCTGTGAAAATGTTGTAAGAATTGAGAGAGTATGTTTCCTACACTGTTTAGGTTTTGTAGATGTACACAATAAATGTAAACCCTTCCTAGCTAGCTTGGACCGTGGTTTTCCGGGGAAACGCGGGGCCGCATCTAGCCGTCGAGCCTATTCCCGCTTCGGCTTTTGAGATCTTGTCTCGAAACAAATGTTTAAATGTCCATGTGAATATCTCACTTTTTTGCTGTCACTACAGCACAACTTCTATGACAATGGCTTCACTCAGAGCATCCAGAATTCTGCCCAATCTTTCTAGGAAATCCCTACGACCAATATATCACAAAGCAAGCTCCATTCCTTCTCGAACAATTGCTACTTATTGTCCTCCAACCCAAGCAAAAGCCATCTCCGTTCTTCCGACAAATGTCGATACCTCTTCAGAGGAATATGCTCAAAATGAGTCTCAAATGAAACCTCTTCTTGATCACCTCTCTACTCTCACCGCCAAAATACATCAAGGTGGTCCTCCCAAAGCACGTGAAAAGCATATTGCACGCAAAAAGATGCTTCCTAGAGATCGTATCACTGCACTCATAGATCCAGGTACTTCATTCTTAGAATTGAGTGCATTGGCAGGCCATGAGCTTTATCCTGAGGCGGATGTACCTGCTGGTGGGATTATTACGGGGGTAGGTGTCATTGAGGGAGTAACATGTATGGTGGTTGCAAATGATAGCACCGTGAAAGGAGGAACATATTATCCAATTACTGTGAAGAAACATTTGAGAGCACAAGAGATTGCGAAGGAAAACAATTTACCGTGAGTTTCCGTTCAATTGATGTACACGCTTTTTAGATACTGATATTTTACAGTTGTGTCTATCTGGTAGATTCGGGTGGAGCCAATCTTCCACATCAGGCAGATGTCTTCCCAGATCGAGAGCATTTTGGTCGAATTTTCTTCAATCAAGCAAGAATGAGTTCAATGGGAATTCCACAAATAGCTGTGGTCATGGGTCCTTGCACAGCAGGGGGTGCCTATGTTCCCGCCATGTCTGATGAGAGTATCATCGTAGGTGAACAAGGTCACATTTTCCTAGCTGGTCCACCTCTAGTAAAAGCCGCAACTGGAGAAGTTGTAACAGCTGAAGAACTGGGAGGTGGAAATATGCACAGCTCCGTATCTGGAGTAACAGATTATCTCGCCGTCGATGATGCTCACGCCATAGTTCTTGCCCGCCGATCCGTTAGCAATCTCAATTGGCCCACGAAACCATTTCCATCCTCAGAATCCTACACTGAACCCCTCTATTCTCCCGAAGAACTGACTGGAATTGCTACAACTAATCACCGCAAACCTCTTCCCATCCATGAGGTTATCGCTCGTATTGTAGATGGAAGCGTCTTTTCCGAATTTAAACGCGACTATGGCTCCACCCTCGTGACAGGTTTTGCACATATCTACGGTCACAAAGTCGGTATCATAGCGAACAACGGTATTCTCTTCTCTGCCTCCTCCCTCAAGGGCGCCCATTTCATTGAGCTTTGCACTCAACGCAAAATCCCTCTCATTTTCCTGCAAAATATTAGCGGATTCATGGTAGGTACTGATGCTGAACGCGAGGGTATTGCGAAAAATGGTGCAAAATTAGTTACCGCAGTTGCATGTGCCAACGTACCCAAATTTACCGTTGTGGTTGGTGCCAGTAATGGTGCTGGTAATTATGGTATGTGTGGTCGGGCATATAGTCCTCGATTCTTATGGATGTGGCCTAATGCACGGATTGGAGTAATGGGAAGTGAACAATTGACGGCCGTCATGGAGACTGTTGGAAAGGCTGTTGATCCAGAGCTCAGAGATAGAATTGATAGAGAGAGTGAGGCGGTTTTCTCAAGTGCTAGATTATGGGTATGTTCTCTTCCATGAACGAAATGGAATTGAGGTGACTAACAAATTATCTAGGACGATGGAGTTATTCCACCAAGTCATACGAGAAGAGTTTTGGGTTTGAGTTTGATGGCTGCATTGGGCGGGAAGAATGAACCGGTAGATACCAAATTCGGCGTCTTCAGAATGTAAAATAGTACTTCGGGATGATAAATTATATATGACTTATATGTTCTTATTCTGGGTTAGACTATGCTTTTAGAGTCCAGGATATATACTACAATTACACGCATAGTTTCTATTCCCAAAAGGACAAAGACTGACTACTTGTGGATATCATAAATACCTACTTGTCAACAATCTCAGGTATGCCTCTCTTCCCACCCTGCGATTAGCTTCTTGACAGGATTCAACCCGTGTACAGGCTTTCACTCTAATAAATGGAATCGATACATGCTCATGTAGTGTTCTGAATCTGGCAGCAGTCTATCAGCGCAGGAAATTTTTGATTCGAGGCTTTTTAAGTTTAGCCCAGTTCACCTGCCTACTTGAGATATAACTGCATAACAATGTTGGTACTTTGTCACAAGATGAGGCACAGGGCTGTAATCTTATGAAGTGGAGCAAATCGCCAGAAGTAAACAATGGAATCACTTCATGGTTGCCATTGAAATATCCTTGAATCGAACTTGACGTCTAGATCATCTAGAAGATTTTGTTTAGTTTTTTCCAGCTAAGATTGCGACAGAGAAAGATAATTGATTGGAAAGGGAAGAGTATTTATGTACTTCGGAGTACAAGGCATGTGTTCGTTGTGATTGTTAATCAATAGTCATACTAATGATGTCGATCGGTTCGAAACCATAGGAAAGCTACGAAATAGATAATGAGGAGAATAGAGTTCAGTACAATATTTTACTCCCAGAGAAAGTTCTCCCTGGATTCCATAAAGATACTACGGATCTTTTCTGAAAGCCGAATGAGACAGCTAACGCCATTCTTAATGCCCTTGTATTGATTCTAGATTTAGCAGAACCGGAAGCGAAAAACATTCAAGACTTACATACTGGTCATGAGAATCAACTTCGTTTCCTTTACTATCCGAGATATCTTGGGGGCTTTAGACAAACAGGAACTAAGTCTAATCCAACACACAATAATTGACTACCCGCGTGTGAATCAAGGGTGGTCGCGTGCTATCGCTATCCCTCTACCAGATCCATACCAGGAAACCGATATCGTCAGTCTACGCTTCCGTTGAGCTAGTTGTTACACTTCACAGTTCTCACAGGATCCGGCATCTCTCAACTTCGAATATCTTGAATATACCCCCTCCGTCTTGGATACACGGTCAGAAGATTAACATCAAGCGCATTATCAGTCAAACTTAGCTGTAAATCGAACAGACAACTCGACTACCCCAGCTGAAAGTCTAACTCGTGACTTTCGACGCCACATTCCCTCCTTGTTTTAGACTTTCATCGCTACCGAATGAATTAATTCATTCTATTATGTACAAATCTCATTTAGCGATACCTTAAATTTGCTACAAGCTTATAAACGAGATGTTTATTTTTTACCATCAACATTTTGGGAGTCTAAATTTCGAGTCCATACCGAATTTAGCTTTACACGAGCGCTTTGTTTGCCTGATTGTACCTAGAAAGAACGGTTTTTCGGGATCGAATCTAAGATGAACTCTGATCTTGGGATGGGGCTCATAAACCGCAAGCGAATTTGGAAACTAGGGATTGAGATGGTCAGCCTGATGCAAACCATTGAAGAGCCTGGACGATTCTTACATGGTGACATTGTCATAGATGTCCCAATTCAACGGCACTGCTCTACTGTGAGTTGTTTGGCGTTGAAAAGAGACCTAAAGGGTTGTAAACAAGTCACACAGAGGTCTATGCATTGGGGGAAGATGCATGTTGAATCACAACTTTGTACTGTGACACCATCGTATGTGGATATTCTGGAGCGGTGAGTGGTCTCGGGCCTCACATTTGGATTTCGCGATAGCCAGTCTGTGAACATAGGCTACATAGTAGCGCAGCGTAATCACTTGACAGCTTCAACTTCGCCTAAAATTCTATGGCTGGTTGCTAGTTCGTTGGATATTGAAACAATTGGAATCGATATTTATCCACATTCATCTCTCAATAGCAAAGACGAGCTTGCTGAGCAAGTGGAGTCAAGAACACCTTATGGGCATTTTTGTTGGTCTTGATGTAAGATGAGTACACAATACTAACATAGACATTTCAAATAACTTTCCTAGGCTATTTGAATTGTTAAAATTTGACCAAACTTTAGGAGAGAAGAAACTGGTACCGGTAGCGTTCTCTGGGTGCATCCATACCTATCAACTATACCTTCGATGCTGGACGATGACATTGTCGCTCTGCACGAGTTGCAAAATAATTCCTTCGCCCCAGCATCGACCCTATATATCAAACCAGAGACTGGCAATCTTGTCGCAATTTAAATGCATTCTCCGCTGGAGCTCTGCACTGGTATCACGGGTATCGATTTTATCTGCAATACATGCATACGACGCACGTGTGGCTCTGATTATGCCACTGCTTCACTGTCGTTTTTCCTTCAGGAATTTGAATATCTTGGCAGAATTAAGGTCTATAAGATTATCTCTGTAGGCTACCATTTGCAAGTAAGTATATCTAAAATTGTGTATTGGGTACATGCTTAGCAGGAAATTTAGTTCATCACAGATCTGAATCGGACAAGCGAATTTATGCCCCCAGCACCAACGAAGTCAGGAGTTTCTTTCGATTGCGTTGAATACATTTCTTTGGACAACGGATATATAGTTGGTCTTTGTGGTTGTTTTGTAGTATCTTGGTCATCCAAAGAATACAAACCATTAGCTAATTCTGGTTGCAGAAATCCGAGCAGCAGTTAAACTGTTTCGGTATTATATCATCCACAACTGTGGCGTCTTCGAAATCAATTTGGATCTCCTCAACAGGTCGAGATGGCTTTGGATACCTGTCTCTGGAAGAGACTCTCGGAGGTGGCGAGAATCATGGCGAGTTTGGACGTCGATTGCTGCTAGACAAGAGGCTTCAATCAATTCGTGTTTCTAGGACCACAGTTTCGACAAGATACTGTCACCTCCAACAAGTCACCGGTCTTCTTTTTCTTTCATTGGATTGCAGCTATCTTGAGCTAGGTACTCGGGCAATTGACTGAAATGGGCCAAACGTATCATTTCGAAGTAAATGAATGGATCATCGACTTGAAAATTATTACAATCAAACCATGTGTGTTCGCAGGGTGGAGTCATGGGCCATCACAAGTCAAAAGACAATAATCGTCACAAATCAAAGGAGGATGGAGTTGAGACCCGAGATTGTACAAATTGCTTATGATGTATCAAATACACAATTGCATAAGCGAAGAGTATCAGAGATCACTTGGGAATTCAACGCCATGTACGATCGCGTACAATGGAATTATCAAGAAGATCGAGTACATAAGGCGAATTGATAAACATATCAGTATATCTATTCACCATCGATGTTAAGATTTTTCCTAATAATCTTACGGGACTTTACTTTTCCCAACCTTGCTTTGTCAGTGCCGTACACCCATCCACCCTCTCGACGGGTGTCGCAGGCAACATTCTCGTTCTCATTCTCATTCTCACTGAGATGCTAAGCCTATAGGTGTCGCTAATACGATTATGGGCATTTAGAGGGCATGTCTAATGAAAAAGTTTAATGTTGAATGTCTTGTTAAGCATTCAGCCGGTAAGCCAGCTGACGAACAATGAATGTCAACTGGCCTCCGCGGAGTATGTTCTCATGCATTATTTTTGAAAACTGTGATAGCAGATACTTCGCTACCGTAATGGAGGAAAACAATCCCTTTTTCGACAAACTTTCCACGGGTAAGATAAAGGAGCTTGTTGTACTCTTGGTAACTATTCAAAGATACACAGACGTCTTCCCTTGAAAATTTAAGTGAGTAGTCTAGACAGAAGGTTATACTGGCACTCATGAGTAATAATATGGAAAGCATTCGAGACTTTATCTGGGTAAACGGCCATATAGTATGGTGTGATGATTTCGAAGCATCAATGAAGGATTTCTATCATCAAATAATTATCGACCCCGCGTTACCTTTCCAGCGAATCGTCTCGAAGTTACAGCTTCCTTCATCCTTCCAAGTTCCAATATCATTATCGCCTACCTACTGTCTACTAGGAAAATAAATTCGATATTTTTGGTGGCCTGATATTGCCTTCGGTGTACCCGTCGGTGCGTTTCATTCAGTGTTGTGTTGGTGTTTGGAGGCCCAAATCCTTCTGTTGCGCCCACAGGAAGAAATTCAGAGGAAACTTAAGTGTAAGCCCGAATTGTGCCGTCACAATACTATCCCAAATATATTTATTGACACTGGTCATTTATTAACTGGCCATGATTGTCTCCAAGCGTCTCCTTTGATGGTAGATTATTTCAAAGTACCCGAGTCGATCGAACCCAATAATGTCCTGGAGAAAGTGCACTCAAATTCATTAGACATGAATTCGACTACTGATAAAATTGATTCAGAATGTAAACGAGTTTCTCCATGAAATTTAGATATATAAGAAAGCGACAGTGTTTGAATGGCTCATGGGACATGGTATCCTAACGACGAGACATCAGGAAAGCATGAACATATGCTTGTGAAAAATAATCAATGCAGAATCGAATACCTCATTGGCTTCAATCGCGACCGTGGCTAGGAAAGTTTAATAGCCGCGCGAGACATAATTTGTTCTAGAAATAAATGAACAGAACACTGAAACAACACCCCTCAAAGAGTAGAGAGATCCTTCGTCGGTTTGCAACTTCCTTTTTAGTGAAGGATTTCAAGTGAACAGACATGCTTCAACATTGCTTTCTAGGGTTTTAGATGTGTCAATCAAGAGAAAGTTTATACTATGTCATAATGGGGGCGGGCCCGCCTTAAATCGTGACCGCAGAGGGCGCCTAGCAATTGTTGGAATAGGATTCCATCAATGGCGTAGCAATTTCTTTGACATGGGTGTTAGGGAGGAAAGCTTCTTTTCACAGAGTAACAGTACGGTTCAGATGCAGGTACAAGTGTTGCTGTTACAAGCTTCGTGGCTCAGTCGTTTGATCCTCCTGCTTTCGTGCTACCATCGTTCTCGAATTAGAAATCTATAAATCTGGAGATCCCCATACCTGCAATAAAGCCTTTCCCTATAAGATCCACAGCCATTAAAGAATAGTATTAACTAGTTTCAATCGAATCACTTTCCATGAACAAAACTTCACATTCCACAAACCCAATATAAAACCAACCATGCAATTTACAAGCACCATCACACTCCTCTCACTCCTCGCCGCCACAGCATTTGCTGATCTCGGATCAGTCATCGCTGATGGAACATCCATCGGGGGAAAGGCTTCTGGCGCCGTAAATACCATCACATCAGACTATGCCCAAGCCCAGGCTACTCAAGATGCCCTTTCTACAGCAATATCCTCTCTATCCTCTGTCACTTCCATGGAAGCCACAGCAACCGGCTCCGCACTATCTTCCCTGTCATCTGAAGCATCCTCACTCTCTGAAGCCGTCTCTTCAATCTCCAAATCCCTTTCCAAATCCATCTCTCAAGCTTCTCCATCCAACGCCGCATCATTGAGCTCCCAATCTAAGATTGCGACCTCTGCTCAAGCACAAGCTATGAGCATCAGCGCTGAGATCAGTAGTTTGGAAAGCATGGCAAGTACGGCTACAGGAAAGGCACAAACCGAGGCTTTGGAGAGCGCTAGTAGCTTAAGCTCGAAATTTGCAAGCGCCAGTAGTGTCGCTAGTGCCGCGGCTAGTGCTACTGGGGCTTCTGGGGATTCTCCAGAGAAGTGTGTCCCAGTTTGGGGAGCTATGGTTGTTGGAGCTTTGGGATTGTTGATCTAAGTTTTCAAATTTTCTGTGAAATGTTGCGGGTGTTTTAGACAGTGTGGTTGCAATATACTCTGGAGTTTGTAAAGAAAAAGCTCAAATATATGCGAAGTCCCGTTTGAAGGTTCATATCAAGTGAATCATTCCTTAATTATTTGTCCTATTTTGTTTCGGCTTTTTGGTTATATGGATGTTGTTAGAAACATATATTGCGCTAGTACTGACTTGGTGAGCTAGCCCTCTTAACCTCGCTCACTTTCCATAGACCATTAGCTACACACAATACATAATAATATAAACAATTGTACCTTTGACAATCATATCGAAATTATGGCGAAGCATTCTAGAACTAGCAGCTTGTTAGAGATTATGGAAGGAATTCAAAGTAGCTGATTCAGGACTGCGGGGTTTCGTAAGCCCGAGGAAGAATTGTAGGTCACCCTCTACCCGTATTCTTTTGGAATATTGGCAATGCGCTAGTAAGGATTAATACTTTAAGGTTAATTTAGAACCAATTGGCTCGCTTTTCAGTAAAGTCAAACACCTCAGAATAGAAGTTTTTAACAGAAATATTAGGCATTTGATGAATAATCCATTGAAGAAACGAATCAAACAACTCCGGTGGTTACCGCAACCCTAACCCACGAAAAACTCAAACAAATAATCCTTACTAGCGCATTGCCAATAATCCAAAAGAATACGGTACTTAAGCGAAAAAACAGACGGAAATTGAGTACCTTTTTGAAGGACTTTTTTAATAGATTATAAATTCATTTCAAATTAAATTTTAAAATTTTAAAAAAGCAAACGAAAATTTAAGTCTTTTTTGTATTGATAGTAAATGTTTTTATTAATTAATATTATATCAAAAAGAGATCTTAGTTGTTAAAAGTCTTTTGGATGGTAGTCAATTCCCGCCTGTTTTTTTGTTTACATAGAGGTCACCGAAAAATCACATAGGTCTAGAAAAGAGCTCACCAAGAGATGTCAAAAGCAATCAAGCTTCTAGAACAATGCGACGCATATACCCAAGATTGAATTGAACATCGGGATTGTTTTGAATATCTAAATGGACTCGGATATCTGAATTTACATGCATCCCAGACCTAGACCATGAGCATTGAGAACCACAACGAGAAAGCTTCATGAATTTTCCTCCAGCATTTAAGTTTTTTTATGTAGGATTACAATTTATTTACCCTCCATTGTATAAACAGGGCATGGTTTAGTAGTTCTCAGTATTGAAGTAGCATATACTCAGGCAGGCTTGACATTTATTACCGAGTTTGCTCACCAAAATCATTCAAACCTCACTATTTTCAACATTAAATATCATTTCAATTAGAAATACATTCGAAGGTATTCTATATAATGCTCAATAGATAATCAACTTCAGGGTTACAGAATTACTTTTGATCAAATTTATTCAACGTGTATCAAAGATTATCTTTGATATATAAACTCCCATAATAATTTTGGTGTAATTTGAAATTTGGCCTCAACATCCTTCAAAAAGAAGCCTGAGAATATGGAAACTAGAACATAGATTGCAATCAACGATCAGGGAAAAAGTTCATAAAAGGGATGAAGCCCCAAAGATATATGTTATACAATTAATCAACGCCGTATCAAAACACCCTTAGCATTTCCGAACATAACACATTCAATTCCTCTCGCTCATTATATCCGCCATCAATCTACAACAAGTATAAAGCCGCACCCAAAATAGCTCCTCCAGCCATTGGCACTTGTGTTCTCATAGCTCCCGAGCTAGAAGTAGCGCTGGCGGCACTGTTAGTGGCGGAACTAAGAGCACCGCTAGCTCTGCTAGTGGCACTTCTCACTTCGGAACTGGCGCTGGCGACGTCGCTGCTGATACTGCTCATGGCCGCGCTGATCGAACTCTTAACGGCACTGTCGGTGGCAGTCTTGGCGACGGAGCTCAAGCTAGCGATTTCGCTGCTGGCTTCACTCTTGATGCTCGAGTATCGGGAGGCGGCAGCAGAGGTAACTGTGGAAAATGCGCCAACGGCGTCGGAGGTTGCCGTAGAGAAGGCTCCAGCGGCTCCAGAAGTTGCGGTGCTGAATGCGCCAGCAGCTCCTGATGTAACAGTAGAAGCGACTCCACCGGCACCTGAGGTGATAGTTGAAACAACTCCGCCAGCCCCTGAAGTTACAGTTGAGAAAGCGCCAGCTGCTCCTGAAGTTACAGTTGAGAAAGCGCCGGCTGCTCCTGAGGTGACGGTCGAAAAGACTCCTGCGGCTCCAGAAGTGACAGTATCAGCGGCTCCACCAATGGCAGATGTAGCTGTGCTTACGGCTCCGCCGACATCTGAGGTTATTGAGTTGACGATGCTACCGAGATCTTGTGCCGAAACACCAAGGGAAAGGAGGGCGATGACTGGAAGAACTTGAACACGCATGATGAAGGTATTGATTTTGATATATCGAAGATCGAAAAGTTGAGAGGATAGTAGGTAGATGTAGTGAATATCGAGAAGAAGAGACGTTTAAATATATCGATTCGTGAATTATTCGTTAGCAAGTAGGAGAAAAGGAGCAAATTAAGAAAAGAGAGTGAACGCGGTGAAGCTTATATACATGTCGGTGCTCTGTTTCTACCTAGTAAAGCATTGTCACCTATAGGATCCCCATGCAGAAGAGATGATCAAAATCTCGTATAATTGCAAGAGAAAATGCGAATTTCCTGGAAACATGCGGTAGTTCGTCTCCGATATTCCGTGCATAAACTTACATGACGTTGAAAGGGGTATGCTAACTTTAAAGAGACTAGCACTTGCATGGATACTGTGGCTCGGCTCGCTTAGGTAATTGAGATTCGCGGCAACTAACCAATTTTCTTCCGTTTCACTGTGGCTCGGCAGTCATGGGGCGAAATTGGATACCAATTTTTTTGTTAACCTTGATTCACTTCGAGGTTCGGTGACATTCCGAGGTTAATCCAAGGTTTTCCCCTTGAAATATGTGCTGTCACCAAGATCAGGAAGTATCTTGCGCGTCATCTATAAATATCTTCATTGTTGTCAGTCCCAAGGTTTTTTTTCCTCCAATAGTTTAGGTAGGCTTTGATGTAACCTTTCTACAGAATACACCGTAAAGACCGAGTAGTGAGTGATGTTGAGGCTGAGCTAGATTTCTTTAGAGGGTATTCGTGGGACAAGGCTTTTTCATACCCCGTACTTTTTAGTACTGGTGCACTCGTTTTGCAGATCAAGAACCTAGTGAAGTGAAATCAAGGCCAAGACGGGTACAATTTTAGAATGGTCCGCAGGGAGATATTCTGGGAACGAGGCTCTTCAGAATTTATCAATCTTTTTGCAGAAAAATAGGCTGAGTAGATGTGCGTTCCTGAACGGTCCAATCATTGAAAAGCAAATTTTGGACGAATGAATTCCAAGTGGCAAGTGTTTTGTATTGTTTATTATTAATTGTTTTATATACAGCTACCTAAGCTTAGCTAGCTAGAGAGATCCACCACGGAATACCTAAGCATACGCAGGCCAAACTGGGGAAGACCATGAAGCACCAGCAGCGATGAGCTGAGTGTCCATTGCTTCGGCTCCAGCACCGATGAACAAAAATTTGGAGAAGTGCACGGTACTGTAGTACTTGTATGTTGTGTTTCCAGGAATGAAGACAACATCACCTTGAATAAGCGATAATGTTTCACCTTCCATCTCAACAGTCAACATACCCTCAAGAACCTCGAAAGCCGCATGGCCGGTATATGATGATGTTGGGATGGTGACGTTGGATAACTTGCGGGCAAGGGTAATGGTCGACAAAGAGAATGCGTCCTCGGATTGTACTGGAGTAACGAATGGCTGAATGATTTGGTATCCAGCGGCATCGTTAATGTATTGTGGTCCAAAGTCCTTGGCGACGTAGTATGGAGAACCTTGAGCGCCAAGAGCGTTGGCTCCAGTGTGCCAGGTACTGTTCAATGGAGCAGTACCGTTAATCGCATCTGTACGAGGAACGAAGTCAAGCTGGGCATAGACATCGAAATTTTCAAGAGAGCTAATGACTGAGGCGGGAGGAGAGCTACTGCCATTGACAACGAGGAGAGGATCGTAAGGGGGTTGGGTTTCCGAAGAGGCTAAGGTCCAGTTGGAATCGGCAAGGGCATAAAACAAGTCCCTAAAATATTGTTAGTCTCCTGTCCAGTTGCAACTATAGCTTGTTATGCTTGGGCAACCTACTCAAATCCTCCAGGTGAGATAATTCCGACCATCTCAGTGTCGGGATCCAAAATTTGGAAAGTATGGGTTGTGTTGGTTGGTACACTTCCGTAATCTCCTTGTGTCAAGAGTCTTGTCTCGGAATCACCATCCTTTTCAGTCCAAAGCTGGAAGCGACCTTTGAGGTTGAAGAAATTCTCATAATGCTTTTGATGAATGTGAGGAAGAACTCCTAAATCAGTCGAAGGTGGTGCGTTTGTTGCGAGAAGGGAGAAAGCACCTCCAGACGATGGTCCAGTAACCGGGAATCGATAGAGTTGGCTTCCAACCTGACAGCCAGATGCATCATAATGTGCAATTGCGTAGGGGCGGACGTAATTAGGCACCTCTGTTACCCAGACTGAACTGTTATCGCGGGCAGTAATGCGAGCGGACACGAGTCCAGCAGTAAGAACTGAAGAGGCCAAAGTAGAGGTGCGCATGATGAAGATGATAAAAAGAATGTAGATTTGAGGTGAAGGAAAAAGAGGAAGATCTCTCAGGAACTTGCATGATGTATATATGGGAAAAGAACCAGATCCACCCTTCCACTATTACTCGGTCCTCATATACCCATCTGAGAGATATTGCCGATGCAAATAACTGCAACGGCGCACATTACTAGAAAAGCAGTGGAAGGATCTTCAAGGGTACCGGTACTGTCACGACTCAGATGGGGTTGACCCCTACATCGTCCACTTTGTACAGAACGGGGCATTGAATGATGTAAATAGGACTGTAGATACCGTAGTGATAACGTTATTGTAATATCTGGTCAAATAATGAGATGATTGAACTCACTACGACTCTTTCGTTGTTTCGAATCATAATGTGTTTACAGTGTTTGCCCTTTCACATCTTTCAAATGTGAGGTTGAATCTCGACGGTATATCATTTTATCGGTCACCTATGTCACTGAATTTCTGTGCAATTTACTTAGCAAGCATGAAATTCGTCTCCCCAGTGCTCGCCATCCGTCCACCTCAGATCGATTAGATTACGAAAAGGGTCGGTTCTTACTACTTAGATACTACCTTCCATTACAAGCATGTCGAATCTGCAAACACGTCCCAACTAGTCCACACAAACTTTCGCACTAACAGGGCCACCCCGTGAAGATGCGAGTGCTCACTCTGTTTTTTTTCGTGACGGCAGCAGTACCGGTACATCGAGAGTCCAGGTTGGTGGGCGGCCGGTATTCAAACTGTAGTACGTACGTTGGTAGCATTCTGGTCAGTAGCCGTAATTGCACATGCAGATCGAATGGGGAAAATGAAGAAACAGAGTGGTGGACGGGCGGGGAACTGAAACATCCGTCCAGTAATAATTGTACGCGCGAGTCGAAACACGTTTTTGAACGGAGGTACGGAGTAGATGAATAAACTTTGTCTCACCGTTCGAGATAGCAAGAAACAACTTGTCTGGACAGAATGATCTAATTGGTGACGAAACAGAGACAAGTCAACTTAGAAATGGGAAGATATCTTCATACCAGTACCTCCAGGACCTGCATAAGTGTTCAATTCATCAGTGCATGCAGCTCGGATAGAAACAAAGAAGCAAATTGAAAACAAGTTTATTAATCAATCATCCCATCCATCCATCAATAATTCTTCAACGATCAAGTGGACGGAAGGACAACCTAAGCACCAAAAGTCCGTCCGACTAGGTAGCCTCGAGGTAGTGTCCCAACCAGACTCCAAAAACTGGAGCAGATCTGGCCCCGGTAGTGGACGAGTGGATATACCCAAGATCCGAAAGCTACTCCGTACAGTAACTGGAGAAATTCTTGTATGGAGACGACTCAGACGAGGGATAGTGACATACTTGGTAGTGGACGGACAAGGGATGAACTCTGGCCAATAATCGGCCCGGCCTCCTGCTTTTACGGCCTTCGGTTTTGTAGGTTTATCCGATTAGAAAAGCCATGATCAGGATAAAATTATTCATGTTTGCACTTTCTACCTGATCTACGCTGACTAAAGATATACCAAAGGTATCCAAATCCCGAATCCAACACCAAATGCTATGCTATGCTCAAAATGCTTTACAATCAATTGCTCGCTTGACAACCCGATGAACCCGACCAGCTTTTAATCCAACGCCTGCGGGCATCTTCTCACTTCCAATGTTCTACATTCGTTTCATTTTCTCTTCCTTGCGTGTTTGCTGCCCTCTTCTCTTGTTCAAAAACTTGCAATGTCTGAAACTCGATTCTTCCGTCACCCACCAACTGTCCCACACTTTGTACACACCAACTTTTGAGCTCTGCTCACACCCACCCCAACCTTCTTAGCCCTGAAGTCCTTCCCTCCACATTTTCTACATGCAATCGTCTGATCACTGCCATCACTAGCTTCTCCTTCTACCTCTTGATCCCCATCTGTCAGATCAGAATTTGCATCACTGCTTAATCTAGAGTTGATGCTATTTCCACGAGATGAGGTGCCTGGTCGAAGAAGCTCGGGACCAAATTTGTTCCCATTTTGGTCCGCATTTGAGTTGTTCTTCCAATTTGCTGGGTTCCAAAATTGGTAGGATCTTCCTGTAGGGTCTATTTTATAGATACTAGAATTGCCATCTCCGTTGGGGGGAGGTGATGCAGGATTGAGTGTGAAGGATGGAGTGGGCGGTTGACTTGGGAGAGCTTGGTGCGATTGAGTTTTAAAGATTGATTGAGGAGGGCTACTCGTAGCAATGGAAGGTGGCCGATGACCGCCACTTATCGTTGTTGTTGTTGTGGGCACAACAATACCGTATTGCAGTTGACGAGTTGCGCTTGCAAGATTTGCCGGGGAAGATGGCGAGTAAGGAGCGCGAGTGAATTTACCAGGTGATATGCTACGGTCACTGCGATTGCTAAAGGGAGGAGGTTTGGTGTGAGAATTGGAGGTCTTAGGTCTATCGTTGGAAATCGACTTGCGCCAGTCGAGGATGTGATTGTCAAATTGCGTAATTGGCCCTGAAATAGAACTCTGGGAGATCGAGGTTCGGCGAGACTGGGAACCACCACTTTGACGTGTCATAATGCTGCTGCTTCGAGCGAGCATCTTTTTGGAAAATTGAGATGAAGTTTCCCATTGGTCATTACGTCTTTTCTGATAAGCGCAATCTTGTCGAAAGACCTTTATGCGACCAAGGTAATCCGCGGTTACAATGATATTGCCATCATTGTGATTGGACCTAGCAAGGTATGCAGAGGACTGTTCAGGCTTCTTGATTTGAGGTTCCTGAATGTCTTCAACAGAGATAGCAGCAGAATCGCGATTCCCTGCTTCACTTGTTGCACGAGATGTCGAGGGAAGAATCGATTCTTCTCTACTAAGTAGAGTCACAGGGGGCGGGTTGCATAAATCGTAGAGGGGATCTCCGGAACCACTGAGAAGTATTCTAGACTTCATCGGGGCCATCACAGCTGCTGTGACAACCTCAGAATGAGCCTCAAAGAATTCGCATGGTCTTTTGTCCTTACTCTCATTATCCGTTACTCCAAGAGACCAGATGTAAGCTTTGTGATCTTCACTACCACATATAACATACTTTGCATCATCACTGAATTGGGCAGTGATTTGACTGTAGGCATTTTCGTGACTTCTGAACTTCATCTCTAAAGCTTTGTCTCGAAGATTGTACATACGAACTCGAGAATCATTTGAAGTAATCAAAACTTTAGTTTCGCCTTCCGGGTCATTCGGAGGATAAACAATCGTGCGAATACCAGTGATTTTGCTTCCCTTTGCGTTCTTCCCCCTTGATGATCGGACATGGATTTGAGTGTGGTACTTTAAGCCCTCGGTCTCGTAGAACAAGCAGATCCCACTGAGAACACCAGCTATGGCGGTCTTTCCATCTGGACTGAAAGCTACCGCCGTTATAAGACCTGGCAATTGATTCCAAAAGGCGACACTTTTGTCGGGAATACTCCAGAGCCGAAGAATTGAATCTAGTGACCCAGCCAAGAAGAAGCGATCGTCTCGGGGGTGAAAGGCTATCGATGTAACAAAGTCCTTGTGGTTAAAAGTGCACAAACACTCTGGTCTGCTTATGTGCCACAATCTAACGGTCTTGTCCATTGAAGAAGATAGCAAGAAATTGTTCTTGCTCCAACTAAGATCCAGAACATCCAGAGTATGACCTTCAAATTCCTGTACCGGCTTGGATTTGAAAACAGGTGCGCTCAATTTTTCACCATCCTCGTCGAATTCATGCGCTCGCCGCTCCTCTGCGGTCGATATCACTGCCCAAATTCGAACAACTCGATCCTTCCCTGCCGCGGCGAAATATTTTCCATCTTTACTAAACTCAGCTGCCCAGACTGCACCGCTTGACCTTGGTGGTTTCGACAACTTGTTAGGATGTTCCGAATTTGTTGGAGTTTGTACGTTCTCATTCTTGGACGGATTTTTCGTGCCGCTCAATTCCTGGGCAAGAAACATGCGATTAAACTCCGTAGTCTTCTTGTGATGAGCTCGAACTTTGATATATCGTGGGGGCTCCTTGTGTCTCGGAATGTAGCCGTTTGCTCCTATCGATGAGGAAAAGACATGGGCATTCATGCCCTCAGTGCGTGGATCGCCCAGTTCTGATTCATCATCATCAATCTCTGGTTCTTCATTCTTCTTCCCCCCTAGTATATTGAACCGATTCAAAAATGAGACTCCTTTCCTGCAATTGATTAGCTTTCATATAGATAATCCAGAGCCAACTCTCGCCAATATAAGTAGCCAAGAGGGCATAATGAGCACATTCGCAAGTAGATCCCTACACATCCGATCGTGCCAAATATTGACTTACTTCTTGTCTTTTGCCAGGTTACTGTCGCTGCGAATCTCCGGGGTCAGTTGCCTACCAGGAGAACCTGTGCCAGGACTCCCTGGCTCTGGGACCTCTGGAAGAACGCTTCCTGAGACAGAAGCATTTCGAAGTTTTTGGGGTATTGTATTCTCGGTATTCGTACGCTTCAGAATGTGCTACATGTCCGTCAGCAAACGTGTGCCTTTCAAGCTAATGTGGTTGTCCGTAGAGAGTGATCAAATGAGAATATCCGGGGTCGCATACATGTGATAGAGGGTCAATAGCAGTAGAGGTTCGTGCAGATGCTGTGTCGCTTCCGTTCTCTTTGGCCACTCCATTTCGAATGAGTTTTATCGCAGACTTCCTTGGAGTTGTGGAATGCCCATTGTCTGGAAATAAAACCTATCAGCACATTGTATTTGAGAAGCGATAAACCCCTCAAAATTGGGAAACCCCCATCAAAGTAGTCTATAAACAAGCATGAAGCTCACCACATGTGAAATGGCCGACATACCTTCGGATGAAGTTGCAGAGTGTGGTCTCCCTCCTTCGGTCGTTGGTGATCCAACAATATGTTGTTGCTCCTTGCTGCCCTTCAACTGTTCATCTGTCACTTTGATACTCGGCAATTCTGCGTCAGACATTGTGCCTCCAAGTCCATGAATCCAGTGATTTTTGATTTTGAAATCTTGTGTAAGTCGATTAGATAAGGCGATGTAGATTTGTATGCGTGGTCACTTCCTCTTGTTTGCCCGATTGCTGAGATTCCACTCTCTTCCGGGGGGTTTATCCAAAAAGTTAGGCTTGTCGCGATGGAAACAGATGTTCGAGCACGAGCACACAATGAGTGTTTGGGGTGGAAACTTTATGATTTTCTGGACATTTTGAATTGATTTGAATTGCATCTAAATTAATGAATGACTACAGAACGTCGTCAAGGGATCATTGGGGATGTAGACAAAAGGTACCAAAGAAATCCTATTGGCTTCTGGCCCTATTGTTCGCTTTCTTGACGTAATCATCAATGGCCCAACGATCACAGTGAGACCTTGGGGGGTTCAACGTCGTTCTTTTTTAAGTAACGAGGCGAGCGAGGCTACCTAGTAATAATTGATAATTGAGATGCCTAAGAAAGCGGTGTCGAGCTAGAATGGCAGAATCAAAGAACAGACGTCGAGCCATTATGGATATCCCACTCAGTCCAAAAAACTATAACATTTGAAAACATTAGTTGATAATGGAAACAGAAAGGAAAACTGCAGATCATCTTATTTACCTCCGTCAAGCCCTCGACCTTGCCCGGCTGTCTCCACCCAAACCTACCAATTTCTGTGTTGGCGCAGTACTTCTCAATGCTTCAACAAATACTATTATCGCAACAGGCTACACATTGGAGTGTCCTGGCAATACACACGCAGAACAATGCTGCTTCATAAAGCTCTCTCAAGCTCACAATATACCTGAAGAACGACTTGCGGAAGTTTTGCCGGAAAATACGATATTATATACTACAATGGAACCATGTGCAAAGAGATTGAGCGGGAATGTGAGTTGTCTAGACAGAATCCTGAAGTTGGGTGAAGGTGGAAAAGGAATTCGTAAGGTAGTGGTCGGTGTGAAAGAGCCAGAGAAATTTGTGGGCGAAAATGAAGGGAGGAGAAGATTGGAAGAAGCGGGCGTTGAGGTATTACTGGTTGAGGGACTAGAGGATGAAATATTGAAGGTTGCTACAGCAGGACATATTCCGGTATCTGATGGATGAACAGTCATGTTCTGCATTTGATATGGAAATAGCACACCAGTTTTTCCGAGTCGGATATCGTACACCTTGAGGTTACCCGTAAATTGGACGAATGTATGGTTTGAATGGAGTAATTCGCTTCCTACGAGATCAGGTGCATTAGCCCATCAATAATACCACGCCTGATTTCTATTCTAGATGGTCAATCTCCCCAACTTCTTCGAGGTCAAGCAATGTATTTGCAATTTTCACGAGGATCATGCAAGGCTCATATTCAGAGTGATACTTCCAGAAAGGTAGGCAAGTTTGTGATACCATCTGCTAAGAGCATTGTTTGAAACTCACATACTTGATGCGATCAGTTATATCAATCATACATATCTGTATTGAAGTAAGAGTTGCTGTCTTATTGGTCTCGTCGTATCCAGGAGCGGGAGGTCGTTTTCAGGGTTGGCTCGCCAGCGACAAATATCTCGTGGATGTTTCCATCACACTGGATATAAGTAGCTAACATATTCTGCTCTCTCGCTTCGCCTTACTATATAACCTCAAAACTTCCTCAAACCTATGCATCACACGCCTCGATGGCGCAGCGGTAGAATTCAGCACTCTCGAGAATGTTGTCCGCCTTTCTACTTAGCATTGCGACTGCTACGATCGGACAGTGACATTGTCGGGTATATGTATTATAGAAAGTATAACATATGCGATAATGGCTCATTGGGGCTAAAGAGCGTCGCGCTCTTACAAGCTTTTGTTATTTTTATGGAGCGGAAGTGAAGTGAATATTTTTGTGGAGATCGAGGATTTGTTTTGGGGCATATGACTTTCTCAATGCATGGACGATATATTCCTATATAACAGGTATTCGTAGAGAAAGCTCGATATGCTGGAAAGCTTTTGAGTTCTCTGAGTATCAACAATTTATTATTGGGCTCCGCGATCAGGAACCCAAATATTGGACTCGTCTCCATAGTCTCATTGGGACAACTGTCAAATTAGTTTTTGGCCATACTTTCTATGCACATATGCACCTATGCAATATGTTGCTATTCTTGAGCGGCTTGGAGTGTTCTTCTGGCCTTGGTCTCCCTTCTGGTGTATACTTTTTGTTAGCTGGTGCATTGTCTACGGAGATGATTGTAGTCGCCACTAGTAGAGGTGATTGCGCTGAGGGAAGATCAGGGACCTTTCATTCTCCTTGCTCATTTTTCTTGCAAGTTTCCACTTGAGTCAACCTAATCTTGTTTCCCACCCTCTCATCCAATATCCCAAACCTTTACCTAGCAACACGTGATAAAAGCATACAAAAAGACTTTTGTTGCATATCTGGTTTTCAGCTTCGGTTTCATATTCAATTTCATTACGAGAGAGCAAGGCAAATTTAAACATGATAAGAATTAAGATGTGCAACAAATCCTTTCTGCCGAAAGCTAGCCAATCACAGGAGCACATTCAAACTTTTCAGGTGAATATACCAGGTCCCTACTGGTGATTTGATTCAAGGAGGATGAAGTTTATTTGGTATCTATTCTCCGTGTATCTATTATGTGTATCCATCTAGTCTGTTCAGTCTCGACAAGCGGGGAAGACGAGAAGAGATCCAACAATCGACCTACCTTTCCATGCCAGATATTTATGAATTGCTACAAGAACTCAAGAGCTCAAACCATCCCTCGCTCTCTGCTACGATTTATTTCAATATAACGCCGACAATGCAAGTTCGACATAATGCCCCAAATATTCTTGAGTATGGAGCCCAAGCTTCGCAACTAACCCCATCGTACTCACCAATTATAAGAGGAAAGAGGAGCAAGGTCACATATCTGGGTGCGACATAAAAACAAATTGCAACATGGGATGTGTATCAACGAGTCCAGCACATTTACGATATCAATCTAGTTCTAGTGTTGGGGAATGTCACGTTGAAGTTGAGAGTTGTGGCTTGCGCTTGGGAAAGTAGACGAGGCAGGATTTGTTGCTTCGCGACAGTTAAAAAAGATGATGGGAAGAGGTGAGGGGATCTATGGGGGAGCATGAAGGTGTCCAAAATTTCGTAGTTGGTTTAGGAAAGAAGGGAAATATGTGGTTGCAAATTGGAGTACTGGGAGTGAGCGTGGTCTTGAGCTCTTAGCAAATGGTTTTCTCGTTGGAGACAAAATATATGTATCTGTTCCATATTAGATACAATTGAACATAGATTTGCAACATCATCCTCAGCTTCGCTCTTTATATTCTTACTCAACTAGCCGTCTCATGCCGCACATTATCAAGTCATCAAAGTATCGATATCAGTTGGAAAGAATGCAGGGATTAATATCGGCCAGACCGTTACGAATACCAACGGATCTCCACAGATTACGCTTTTGTCATCTTCGTGTGCAGGGTCCCAAGCTGACGTTCTGTTTCATTTTGGTATAAGTGTATCTGAAAGGACGAGGGCTCGAGGAGGATAAACGTTGGTCAATTGAACGGCTCGATATCGATGTTTGATAGTGAAGGGTTACGTAAAGTGAGGGTGGTTATCTTTCCCCACATTTTCGTGGGAAGTGGAGTTAGCTTTGGCCATGATATTGAAACTAGGCCTGGCTCGGGAGTGAAGTTTATTTATATACTCTGTGTGGCAGATATGGAGGTTCTTCAACAGGTGATGTAGAAACACTATGTTTAGAAGTGATATAATAACTTGTAATGAGTTAATGTCACCATATCTTGGCATGGGTATATAAAAACGCATGGGAAAAGATATTTATGTTTGATTCCGCATCAAAGATAGGACAAGAGCTCTTCCAAGCATCTTGCCGGAACTAAACCTCGATGCTGCATACTTCATGGTGCGCGATAAGGATGACAAGGAATATTAATTGGTGCAAGATAAAAGATAAGCAATTTCTGGTGTATCTTTTCATATCTAGTTGATGCGGGCAGTTTTACCATTGGCCTGGTATTGTCACAATACATGACGTTTCTTCATATGACTTATGTTTTGTTGTTCTGTGTTGATGATCATTTCAGATAAATTCAGAAGGTCCTGAGAAACACCCAACGTTGTACTTGTGTATACATACATGCAAATGACGAAAAAAACTAACTACCAAGGTAGAAGGAAACCATAAAAACGATAAAGTGAAATTTATATCAAGATAAAGAAATTGAAAATGAAGCCACCAAGAGAAGTTCACCCGATTCCCGAAGCCACCTCTTGATAGCAGGGGTTCAGGCTAAACCTTCCTGATCAAGTATAAGATCTGATAGCTGATGTACGACCCCTTCCGCCCTGTGAGCAAACGTGCTTCAAATGGAATTCTGTCATGCCTTGCGGGCAATTGATAAACCTCCGTGTACTACATAGATATGCCACGTCCGCGCTATCTTCTCCAAACCTACAACAATCATCCTCATATCGAAGATGGCTACTTTGACACAGTCGAAGAGCAATGCATCGGCTCAAAATGACTTGATACGTCGTCCTTCTGTCACGACGGCGTTGCCGGCTGGAGATAGCCCAAATCTTGAAGGCTTGAGTGCGGATGAAGCTGCACTGACGGCTCTGGGTTATAAACAAGAGTTCAAGCGAGAATTCTCCTTGTGGACAACTTTTTGTGTTTCTTTTGCTGTGCTTGGATTATTGCCCAGTTTCGCGAGTACCTTGTATTATGGAATGGGCTATGCAGGTACTGGAGGAATGGTATGGGGGTGGTTGGTAAGTTGGTTCTTCATCCAATGTGTTGCTATGGGAATGGCAGAGTTGTGTTCGAGTATGCCAACTAGGTGAGTGTTCTTCGATATTGTTCAAAAATGCAAGCGCTAAATATTTTCAAGTGGTGGATTGTATTATGCTGCAGCAGTACTCGCTCCTCCAGGATGGGGTCCATTTGCAGCTTGGATAACTGGATGGTCGAATTGGATGGTGCAGATCACAGGAGCACCCAGTGTGGACTATGCGCTCGCTGCCATGATTCTAGCTGCCGCATCAATCACTCACCCCGAGTACGAGCCAACAAATTACCAGACGTTCTTATTGACCGTCTTCATCATGATCATCCATGGAGTTATATCAAGTATGCCAACATTATGGATTGCGAAGTTCAATTCCTTTGGATCGACGTTGAATATGATAGCTTTGTTGGTGGTAATCATTATGATTCCAGCTTCGGTCACCGGAACTGCCACAACGCCAAAATTCTTCCCTTCGAAGGAGGTCTGGTCTATCCAGAATGGTACTGATTGGCCAGATGGAGTCGCAGTCCTCATGTCGTTTATCGCCATTATTTGGACGATGTCTGGATATGATGCCCCGTTCCATCTCTCGGAGGAGTGCAGTAATGCCAGTATCGCAGCCCCACGCGCCATCGTTCTGACCAGTGGAATTGGAGGTCTTATGGGGTGGGCTTTGCAACTTGTGGTTGCTTACACTGTCATCGATATCACCGAAGTCATTGACTCCCCGCTTGGACAACCATGGGCATCGTATCTCGTTCAAGTGATGCCACAGAAGATCGCGCTCGCTATCCTTGCCCTCACTATTATGTGCGGGTTTTTTATGGGTCAAGGATGTATGGTGGCCGCTTCTCGAGTAACTTTCGCCTATGCCCGAGACGATTGTTTCCCATGTTCTTGGTGGATCAAGAGAATTAATAAGTCTACATACACACCAGTCAATGCCGTATGGTTCAATACTGTCATAGGTTGTCTTCTCCTGTTGTTGATCTTTGGCGGAAGCGTAGCCATTGGCGCTATCTTTTCCGTTGGTGCCATCGCAGCCTATGTTGCCTTTACCATCCCTATATTTATTCGCGTATTCTTCGTTGGCGATAGATTCCGACGTGGGCCATGGCATCTTGGCAAATTCAGCAAGCCGATTGGAATGGCCGCCTCTTCTTTTATCCTTGTTATGATGCCAATCCTCTGCTTTCCAGCGTATAAAGGAAACGATCTCACTGCCTCTTTGATGAACTGGACCGTGGTTGTTTATTTCGGACGTAAGTACTCTTAGATTTCGAGACTCTCTTAAATCCATCTTCGGCGGCTAATGATAGATTCAGCGATGAGTATAGTAATGATCTGGTGGTTCGTATCAGCACATAAATGGTTCAAAGGACCTGTGATCAATGTCGAGGTAGGTTACATACATCCCACACTAACATTCCAGCCACGAAGGCTAACACTGGTAATCCTAGCATCATATGATGGGTAGAGACCCGGAAGAAATTATGGAAGGAGTTGAAGATAGCTCAGATGATGGAAAGACCAAGCAAAGTCCTTTCGAAAAGAAAGCCGAGCTAGGAGGGGATCGGGCTCTTGGAACTTCGGCAGTAACTCAGTGAAAGCTCCTGGGTCTACAAGCATATCAGTATTGAGATTTGTTGAGACAGCAGGAACGGTGAATGTACATCGATATCTTAACCAATAATTAATTATTCTTCTCTTGCATAAGTTGCAAAACAATCATAGTAACGAATACACCAATTCCGAATACCATACAGGAGACTGGCTCCATGTCAGTTGCTCTTTGTAGGCTGGGTTCGAAGGTGTAAAGTATGAGAAAATCTTATCGAGGGAGAAGTTACTGATGGAGATTTGAACAATGTGTGCATTGAGATGAAAAGGCTGGATTGAGAAGGAAGATATACTCTCCTTCTCCCACTGTGAAAAGAAACGACAGTCACCTACAGCGGCGATCCGTAAGCAAAGCTTGCGCGATTTTTGCTATGCAAATTGGACATAAAATCCCTCATCATGGTTGAACCCCCTCATTTTGCCCAGGAATTCGCGCAGAAATGACACAGCTTGTCATGACGCTTTTGTCAATAGAAGTATAAGTTTTACCACTTGGTCTCAGAAGAAACTTGGAAACAATTCAAAAATGATAGGACAACATGAAAAGGATGGGAATACGAAGAGGAAATGACGGGAATGAAGATAATGTTGAGCAACCTGAGTAGAGCGTATTGTGTGTAGAAACCCCCACTTAGAGCAAATATTGTAAACCCCAATATTTGAGGAATCTGATGATAGATATCTTGCAGTTCCACCAGACTTGGAGGATATACTACTTCTTCCACCTGCCCCTCCCTGAGGCTCCCTCACCGTTTCCAAGCACCAGGATACTCACACTATCTCCCCCACATCCCACACTCCACAGTTGACTAAAATCATCTCAATTACTCATTTCCATAAGCGTTGAGGTAGAAAGCTTTCACGTAATAATCAAGGTAACTCAAGGCAGTACTAGACAAAAATCCGAGAGAGAAGATGTCACCAATGTGCCTTAATTCTCAGGCCTCAGTTGAACAATGGCTATCGCCAGGCTCTCCTTGTCAATTCGAATCTCTCAAACTCCTAAAAACACTGACCTGTTTCCGTCCTCTATAGCCTTTTGCGGTGTGTTCTCAACGAATCATGAAATGAATGGCATGCAATCATAGTTCTAAATGAGTAGCAAATTCTAGGCACGATGTCATCCAACGTTCGGAAATCTGCCGCTGGAAACGCTTCCCTATTATCTCCTTCGAATTATGACGAGGACGCTCCGTCTATTCATTCAGAGAACAGTGATCAAGACGAAGACAGTGATGATGACAAGATAATTCAGGGGGCGCGTACGTCCGCAGATATTAGGAAATATGATCGAGGTGTATTAGAAGAGGAAGAAGAAAGGGACGAGCTTTTAGAAAGAAATTTGAAGCGCGGGAGAAGAGGAAGCGCATTGGAAGGAATAAGCTCGGGACTTAGAGGTCTATGGAGTAAGAGCCATGTTCTTTTACCTGGAGCTCGCAATGAAAGTTCCTCAAATCAAGACGATGAAACCGAAGTGGAAGAAAAACGACGCCAAAGGAGAAATAGACGGCAGAAGAAGAGGGAGAAATTGATGGAAGATGCAAGTTATGGTGAAGATGGAGAGTTGATGTTCGAGATGGAAGGAGGGCGCATGAAAGAAGGCAGTGCGACAGGGTCAAGCAGCGAAACTGACGAGAGCGACGATGCCGACAGACGTGGCTTGCTAAATGTGCGGGACCAGGCGACGCAACGGAAAAACTCGAGATGGGCTTGGTGTGCTATATATCTTCTGATAGCATTGGGGTTTACGGCTTTATTGTTAGTGGCATGGAAGCTGTCAAAGAAAGCACGTTTCACAAAAGAACATCAGATTTTCCTGAGCAATGGCACAGCTTTATTCGCGCCAACGACTATCTTGATAAGCTTGGACGGATTTCGAGCCGACTTCTTGAAACGGGGTATCACACCTAGATTGAATACTTTCGTCGAAGAGGGAATTTCGCCTGTCTATATGAATCCTAGCTTCCCTTCTGTCACCTTTCCAAACCATTATACATTGGTTACTGGTCTCTACCCAGAATCACACGGCGTTGTGGGAAATACATTTTGGGACGAGAAATTACAAGAAGAATTCTACTATACCAAATCTGAAGCGATGCACAAGAAATGGTGGGGCGGTGAGCCTCTATGGGTCACTGCTGAGAACCAAGGAATCAGAACTGCCATTCACATGTGGCCAGGAAGTGAAGCACATATCATGGATGTGGAGCCTGCATACTTGGATAAATACAACGGACAAGAACCGCTTCCCAACAAGGTCAGCCGAGTACTTGAGCTTCTGGATAAGCCTGGCCGAGAAGATAGTCAAGCGGCTTTGGCTGATATGAGACCTCAACTAATTGCAGCATACGTGCCCAACGTTGATCAGCATGGTCATCTTTACGGGCCAAATAGTACTGAAATTAGGGTAACTATAACAGAGGTTGACACTATGCTTGATCAATTGTTCCAAGGACTTGAGGCAAGAAATTTAACAAATATTGTTAACGTTGTCATTGTTTCAGATCATGGAATGGCTACTACAGACACAAACCGTCTTATTCAACTAGAAGATATCATTGATACCAGTCTAATCGAACACACCGATGGCTGGCCTTTATATGGACTTCGGCCAAAAGATCTCTCACACCTTCAAGGTCTTTACGATACTTTGGCTGCAGAAGCCGCTATCAATCCCAATTTTGAGGTTTATCTACGAGATGTTAATATGCCCGAACGTTATCATTTCTCCAAAAATGAGCGAATTGCACCTTTATGGATTGTTCCAAAGACTGGTTGGGCGATTGTCATGAAGGACGAATTTGATGTAGTTGAAGGAAAAGCAAAAGGAATTGCCTATCACCCTCGAGGACTGCATGGCTACGATCATGAGCATCCGCTCATGAGAGCTATTTTCATCGCTAGAGGCCCTGCTTTCCCGCATGAGCCTAATAGTCGCGTTGAGCCCTTTCGTAAGTTCACAGCAGTCTTTCTCGGCTAAAGTTAACTAACATGACTCAGAAAATATCGAAGTGTATAATATAATCTGTGACTCTCTGGGACTTACACCTAACCCCAACAACGGCACATTACGTCTTCCACTCAAGCCTGTTGGGCTTCACTCGCCTGATACATCTCCCCCCGAACCTGCTGATCCCGAGCCAAGTCCTTCAAAGCTGGAGCCTCAAACGAACGCAACTCTATCTATATCGCCAATTGAAGCTAGCTCTACAGCAGATCCCAATGTAGTCCCTCCACAAATGGTAGGTGTAGATACACCAGAAGACTTAGAAGATCCAAACGTGGATAGGCCGGTAGTAGAAGACGAGAGTAGTAAGACAGACGATGAGAAAAATTGGTGGGCATGGTTCAAGGGAGAACTAGATGACTTCAAAGGCTGGATTTCTGATTTAACCCACAAGAATGGGACCAACGGAACTCGGGCCTAGGGGTAGAATTTACCACTACTTTCGCTAATATTCGATGTGCTAGGAGTTTTGGTATTAAACACGAAATGTCTGGGTTGGGATTTATCAAGGCGCCTAAATTAGATACCATATGCGGGAATTTCAATGTACAATAGGTTTTTGGGGGAATGATGACTTCTTTGACTATGATTTTATTCCTAGACTAGGAAAGTTATTGGCTTTCTAGTCCGGGCTTTGTTAAATCCTAACAGCTAGAGGAATTCGCTTGCATTACTGGACGCTAAAACCAGGAGGTGCATTTCTTTGCCTCTTAGAAGACCCGTTGGCAAAAGTGTGGCGTTAAGTTGGAGAAAAAGTACTTCGGCTTTAAGCATTCTCCATCTTCCCATGTATAGTTCTCCTGCCATTTACAATGAGTTCGGAACCAGCCTGAACTTTGACATTGCCATGGACCGTAAAATTTCCATGAACAAGCAGCTTTCCGTTAATCTTCACATTACCGCTAGCTTTCAGCTCGTTGCTAGAATCAAAGTCAGTCTATACGTTATGATATACTCAGGGAAGTGACTCACCGAATTTCCACATCCCCCTCAATCTCCATTCCACCTCTCGATTGTAAATCTCCCAAAACAATCCTCTGCTTCTCTAACGACTCAACGATAATCTTGCCACTACTCTCCACATTTCCTACCTCTACCGCTCCCCTGATAGTAACCTGTCCACTCGTATCAACCTTTCCTCCAACCCTCACCAATCCTTCTATTCCCTCCAGTAACACCTTAGAGCTACTCTTCACATCTCCCTGCACATACACATTTCCTCTCATCTCTATGCTCGAACTACTTTTCACAGTCCCCATAATCACAACTCCCCCTTTCCCTGCTCCTCCATCTAACGAAACAGACGAACTCGATCTTACATCGTCGGATACCGTGACATGATCGTAGAGAACAATTTTAGCACTCGCTTTTACGGGGCCGCAAACCGTCACATGGTGATACAATGTCACGGATGAGGAACCAGATACTGACTCGAGGATTTTAAGAGGGCCAGATAGGGATACTGAGCGAGATGAGGATACGGCGTTGGAAATGGGGATGTTGGGTATGGATATTGAGGGATTAGAGGAGGAGGGAGTGGGAGGGAGGGAGGAGAAATCTGGTGGATAGCTGGAGCCTGAAATTGTGGACGGCGCGGGGGTATCGTAGGGGGTGTCGTAGGGGGTGTAGGCGGGCGGGCCCTCTGTATCGGCTAGTTCGGGGATTTGAACTTTGTTATCACCAGGGATGAAAACCATTCTGATTGTGGTGGGTGTTGAGAGTGCTGCGTGATGAAATTGAAAGTTGATGTTGGAAATATGACTATGCGAATAGATATCGATAAAATGATGTAAGATTAATCTTGAGAAACAAGGGAAATTGAAATGATGGATATATAATATGCTGACGCACGCATTTTCAGCCTCTGTTTGTAGTGAGTCTAATAAAGATGGCAGCCTGATATTATTGTGGCTCATCGTACCCCGCACCCTTTGTAAGCCAACTCTCATTCATTGGTAGGCTCGTATGGTAAATTCTCGTCTCGCTCTAATTTCCATTTACTCTCTCAGCCATTATTTTCTGCTTCAATTCATATACCACCCCAATATAATCCTTCGCGCTATATGGTTCAAAGATTTCCCAAAACCAACTTGACTTTCTATGACTTCTCAATCCCATGTCCTTCAGCAACATATCATAATATGGTAACCCATCAAAAACCGTATCAGGATGTCTAGCACCAAAGCCTGAAGGATATCTCCACTTTCCAAATCTATTGTGTAGAACGGTTTGATATTCCATGTCGGAAGGAATGGAGACTTTGTTGTTGAAAAACGCAGTAGCCCAAAGTGCTTGAAATTGAGCCAGGAATGCTGTAGAGACCGATGTCATACAACCCAGAAAAATGATATCCCTAGACTCGACGAATTTAGGAGGGACCATGAAACGAAATAGTCTAAAAGGCTCGAGCCTTCCTTCGGGGGCTCCTTCCATTGGCTTTACTCTCTTAACTGCAGGTGGCTCGTCCTTCAATTTGGGAAACTTGGAGAGAATTTCCTTATCGGCTCTTTCTATCAAATCAGTTGGTTCCTCGGATCCTGGGGCGTGCGGAAGTCCTAAATCTATTCCTCTAGGGAGAAATTCTAGTGGCGGTACATGTTTCCATCCGGTAGCACAGGCGAAAGCGTCAGTTTGCAGTTTTTCGCCGTTTGAAAGGCTCACTGTGTTCGCACTTAGGTTTACAATATCTCCGATGTGCACAGAGATTGCACCTTTGCGAACAAGTTCGAAGATATCCGTATCATGATTCAGAATCGAAAGCATCGTTCCAACGTAGAAAGAGCTTGACCAAGGTTTAAGCTTCGCAGTCTCTGGGTGTTTATCGTACCCATTTACCGTTTTAATCTCGTTTTCTGAATTTGCCCAATACTTATCGACAAACCAGCGACCAGCTGCTGTACCGTGCAACCAGGAACGGACCGTTCCATATCCATCATAGTCACCATATATGCAAGGACTAAACCAAGTCAAAATTCTCGTATTTACCATCTTTTCGATCCAGATCTTGAGAGGCGTGGCGTACGACTCAGCCATCCATCCTGGGCCATGCCCTGACTCTCTGATAATCCAGTCCACATGGATCCCCTTCGACGCATATGCGTAGGCCATATCAAAAGAGGATTTTGCGCCTCCAAAAACACATACGCTTTCCGCTGTCTCAAGAGTATCCAAGTGATTCGGAAATTCTTTCGTATGAAATACAGGTGGTGTGAAGCTCTCAATTCCAGGAAGTGGAGGAACGAACGGCAGTGAAGTCAGTCCTGTCGCAACGATAAGTTTCGATGTGGATATCTTATATTCCTCGAAAGTAGCCGGAATACTGCTTGAACCAATCGTGACAATCCAGCCACCTTCATCTTGATGCTCGGCTGAGATGGCTTTACTCTCGAATCTAATCTTATCATAGACATTGTATTCTTTCGCAAAGTCTTCGAGATATTGATGGACTACTGACCCGGGAATATATTCTCCAGGTTTAACACCATATCTCTCTGTAGTTATAGGAAACTCGCTATACTCTAGCGATCCTAACATATTATTCGTTTTCAGCCCAGGATATAATCTATCAGTGGCCCATACACCCCCAATGGTTGCATTATCAGCCAACACAACGACATTTGCGTTAGGGTGGACTTGGAGATAGGTTTTTGCACCAGCGAGACCAAACCAACCTGTCGCATTGAAGGTCAGCATATTGATATCTCTTATCTCTTTATGAAGATTAAGTTACCTGCTCCAACTACTACGAGATCAACTTTACCGTCTCGTGACATGTTTAACTCCTATGATGACTGACCGATATAGAGAGGGAAAATAAAATCGCAAGGAAGGTCTTCATATATCTATATTTTCCCCTCTTTCTTCGATTGGCTTCGATGCTACAAGCTTATCGCAGGGATTTTGGGTAACATCCTTTGATTTGTTGTTAATCCATGGCTCCAAGGCTTCAACGGTTTAACAGTGGAGTGCTCACGTACAAATCTTCTGACAAGACTTTTTATCCATACAAAACTGATGCCCAACCAACCGGATTGCACCAGAATATCAGTTTGACTTTGTGGGCATTCAGACATAAAAAGGTGGGCGAGTGAGATTTTGGGTCGAAATTCATATGCAGGATTGCACGTGTTACGTTTGCTACAAAAGCACAAGCCCCCCTTGTCCGTGACGCAACCTGCCTTTTTCGGATACATTTATATCGTAAAACGCACTGATGGCTGTTTCGGGAAGCTCATGATCTGGAGGTCAAATTGTTTCACTTGGTACATTTTCTCGTCGTAGATATCTGTTTCAATTCGAAATTTATCCAAGACATATCTACCATTGCGAGATATTAGGATGCCACAACACCTCGAGCTGAGCAATATACATGTTGCGATACAAAATCCGAATCGCAATATATCTACGAATATTACATGTGTACGATGTTCGGTGGCAAAATGCTGTACATCCGGATCCAATTCGGAGATTGGCCTAGTCCAATGATGATTCAATTGACAATTTGAATATATCTAAGATCGAAATCGTTTGGGATATCAAAAAGTCGCTCCAGATTTGCAATTTCAGGTCATTGGGAACGCTGAACGTGGATGAGATATTATATGTTGAAAGTGTCTTGTACGAGCCGAATTGATGGGCTTGGAATTCTGGATGCATAAAGCTTCATGAAGTGACTTCAGTAGCTTCTGGACCATCAAGCTTTCCGAAGATGTTTGGTGCAATCTCATCTACAATCTCCCAATCATGCGGTATATAAGCCCTGAACTTGCCCATTAAAATCCCGACATTACAACTACACAACTGAACATTCTCAATCGAAGCTCTGAAATAAGTACCACCTTCAATCCAAACCTCTTTTGCCTTTTCGTCGTACGAGAAGCCATTTATCACTTCGCTTAATTTTGTCAATTCGATAGACATACTCACTTCGTGAGGGAGCATCGATGTACATGATAAAGCGTTGCACGCTTCTTGTCCGTACATGCAATGGGTCCAAATGACTAACGCTGCGGATGCTAAAGCTATGTAGGAAATTGGGTCGGGGATGAAGTTGGCGAGAGAGAGTGTTCGGTTGAGTGCACTGTGGCTTAGAAGAATTTCAGTGGCATGCCATAAGGCGCGCCGAGAGCTAGGCTCTTGTGTCCATGCACGTGCTGCCAAAACACGTCTGGTATGGGGTTGAGAATATATATCTCCGAACACTCCTCGGACTTTATCAGAAAGTGTCAGATCTTTGGCGAGCATCCTGATAGTCTGAGTCTCGGTAAATAGTTGTAAATTCATCAGATGATGAAGGATAGAAGTGTCGAAGATGAAGCTATGGATGCGTCGGTAAACTATATCTTGCCATCCGGGCTTATCATGGTCTTCAGGTCCATAGTAGTAATGCACGGGAGAATGTCCTGCTTGGTCAAATGCATCGGGGCTCGATATTTTCCCGGAAAGATTTGAGAACCCACGTTTTAGAGCTTCCAGTTGGCGTTTAAGTGATTGTCTTTGAATATTCAAACTCAGTTCATTCCGTCTCTCAGGTTGAGCCTGCTTGGAAAGCTGCAAGATTTCTGACTGCATAGCCCAAAGACAAATCTGGATATCTTCTAACATGTACTCATTTTCTGAAAACTCAATTCCTCCAAGAGCGACTTCTTCAAGCATCACATTGATTGAACGATGGTTTCTAGATTTCGGTTCACTCGGTTGACGAGCCGCCCAAATAGGAAGTCCTACAGCATTCCAAAGCGCGATGGTTTCTGGAATACTGAAGTGTAGTTCTTCTGGCTTGAGTAAAACTGGCTGCACGGTTATGGCAGTGAAATATGTGTCAATCTTGAAGAGATCAACTGCTATCCTCTTTCTTTGCTGGTCTTTAACCGAACGCATTGGTAGAAAATACCCGGGCTTATCGTCTGGATAGATAGTCCCAGGTGTCAAGATTCCAGCTCCGTATATGGAGGCACCTAGGAGGTTGCGTAAGATCAGTCCTTTTCTCAAGACCTCACGTTTCCCACAGTATGATGCAAAAATACTATTCAACAACGTGCACTGGTATAAAACTATCGGCAGAGGCTGTGTCATTGTATCTATATCCTTCAGCTGGCATAAGCGTGGGATAACATGCTCTACCAAATTATGGTGAACTTTCAAAGCCCAATCTCTCGAGCTTGGAGTCCCGTCAATCCAACCTCCAATCATCAATATAGATGGGAGTAGAAGCTCAGGTGCCTCTTCTTCATCCTCATAAGTTGGGGAATGGATTATGGGCCAGCGATCGTGGAAATTGGCAAAGTATAGATAACGATATCTCTCGACAGTTTCTTTGGCAACTGTTGAACATAGGTATCCAAGCTTAGATATGGAAGAAGGGGTATTTTGAGGTGCTTCTCGAGTTTGAGGAGCATCTTGTTGGATCCTGACATTTGACCAATCGATGACATTTGACCAATCGACAAGCCCGTGAGGCGTGCGCCTCAGATTCAGTGAGATTGAATCTTCAGCAGTGACCGAATTATTGAGCACATTCCTGCTTACCGACGAATCATGTGCCTCTTGTAAAGGGCTGTGTGTTGGAATAGAGTCGAATGCGTGTTCCGAGTGGGAAGATTGACCGGAGTTGAATGCTTGAACCACATTGGATACTTGATTCGTAACAGTCTCATCAGAATTAGGTGTTTGGTCAGTCTGTAGACTTTCAACGGACATCTGATCCCCTTGTACATTTTCGGATATTGAGAATTCCGAACCCTCCCAATCGCTCAAATCATCTTTGGAGGTTTCATCTTGCCTGCTGGCTATAGCAGATAGTCCTTGCCGCAACCCATATCGGCAGGGAGTGTTCTTCTTTTCACATCTGAAACATGGATCATTTCCATCGCATTTGATTTTACTGGTATGACAAGCCGCGCATGCCCTCCTGCTTCGACCAGTAGGTTTTTTGAATTCTTGCCCGTGACGTCCAAGATGTCTCTGCAGTCCATCGCTACGAGAAAACTCTTTATGACATATTCTACAAATATGTGCAGGATACGAATCGGAATGTGATTTTTGATGTCGAGTTAAGTGCTCCTTCCGCTGAAACGATTTCGTACATCCTTCGAACTGGCACGACCATCTAGGGAGTGTTTCTTGGCTATCCATTGACACGAAGGATGAAATAAATGGCTGACCGAAATATAGCTAATGTATCACCACAGCACTCATCCATATCTCGAATCATATTTATAAGAGTTAAAAAACTGTTGTAGGTACCTAGGTAGTTTACGTTAAGGTTTGTCATCCATCTCGTGTGGTTGATAGGTCCGTGAGGTGGGCGGCCGAGGTGAGAAACTGTCACGTGACAACTGAGTTTCGAGTTTTTGCTACCAGGGAAAAGGAGGTCATAAACGAAACGCGGAGAGCTAAATTGCCTAGAGATTGATTCCCATCGTTCTGTGTTGTGGTATTCTTCTTTTTCCAAAGATGTGAGAGGAGGGCGGCCGAAGATTACTCATTATCCGCAGAAGCTAAAACTCTAAAGCCCAAGGCCGCCCGCGGCTATCACTAAGCATTTCATCTGCACAAGAAGTGAAATGCTGGTGTGTTTTTGATGATAACCAATCAATAGATGTAGACATGAGATCAATAGTTAATAATAGAGGTTGTGGAATTTACATGCAAGGTTTAACTTATTGTTGAGGCTCGATGAGCGACCCAGCTTTATTAGCTCCCTAGGTACTTGTCACTCCTGGTGAACCCTCAATGAGTGTTTAGGATTGTGGTCTTAAACCCCATATGACTAGCTCAATTTCTAACCACAGTGAAATTATATAATCAAACAACAACCTTTCTATCTCCAAGATTTTGTACCTGTAAACTTTTCCATCATCTAGAGGAATGTCATTTTGGGGGTTAATATGTTAATATCCAAGTCTGGACGACCATCTAAACGCTAATTCAAAGTGAAACACTGAATGTCATGGAAAGGATTTATCACCTCGAGAAAAAGAGGGTTAATCCGATGAATAACACCTCAGATGGTAAATGCAATGAAATAGATTTAACTTTTTCTTACATCCCCTTCTTGGGGCCGTGATGATCAAGCGACCGTGAGGGATGCTCTACACTTCGGCTCCCCCCACATCGCTTGTTTCTCCCCCCTTCAAGATGTGAGTGGAATTCCGCGAACAACTTATATATAAACGACGAATTACTTGAAGATAAAAACTCATCATTCAAATATCAATCTACTCATTCCATCAAAGTCCTTAACCATTTAATATTCACAAAAATTTCAAGAATCAACCATTCTAAATACCAAAACCATCTTCATCATGAGTGTCATCAAGAACGTAGCTATCACCGGTGTAAGTAAATCAATCTTCTCTAAACCTATCATGGCATGATCTAACTCAAATAAAGGCAGCTGGTGCCCTTGGCAAGCCCATTTTCGAAGCCCTCGTCCAATCCAACAAATTCAACATCACAGTCCTCACTCGCTCCACCTCCACCTCCACCCACACCTACCCCTCAAGTGTGACTGTCCTCCCCGTAGACTTTGACTCCATTCCCTCTCTCACAGCCGCCCTCCAATCACAAAAAATCGATGCCATCGTCTCCAGCGTCGGAAGCGAAGGTCTCCTAGGCCAAAAAGTCCTAATCGACGCCGCCGCCGCCGCAGGCGTAACCCGTTTCATCCCTTCAGAATTCGGTTCTGATCTTTCTGACCCACAAACTAAAGCCCTCCCTGTCTTTGGCTACAAAGTAGCCATCGTTTCTCATCTCGAAGACGTTGCTGCCAAGAACCCAAGTTTTACATACACATTTATTCGCAACGGCGCATTTCTCGATTGGGGACTTGAGTACACTTTCATCCTCGATGTGACATCTGGAAAACCATCTATTTACAACGGCGGTGATAAGATATTCAGTACCACCACTCTCGAGACCGTAGCTCAAGCCGTCGTAGCTGTTTTCTCCAAATTTGAAGAGACGAAAAACCGAGCCGTGTATATTCAAGATGTGCAAACATCCCAGAATCGTCTCTTATCGATTGCGAAGAAGGTTGCCCCAGAGAAGAAATGGGAACCCGTTCCGGTGAACACGGCTGATCTTTTCGAGTCTGCAAATGAGAAGCTTGCAAAGGGGGAAATGACAAGGGAGGTTGTGGTCGGATACCTTCTTACTGCGGTTTTTGGAGAGGGATATCCATCGAGATGGGAAAAGGCGGATAATGAATTGTTGGGTTTGAAGGAGAAGACCGATGCTGAGTTGGAAGCTATTGTGAAGAAGTATGTCAAGTAATGGGAAATGTCTTGGGAGAATATTAGATTACAATGTACATCGATTTTATGGACAAACTATAAATGACACAATATTTCTCGTTCCTGTTCACAACTTTTGAATCTTTAATATGTATTATGTATTGCTGAGAATGTTTCCTATGTTGAAGATGTGAAGATATGAAGCTAAGGAGGATTCAAAGGACAGGGAGGATGGATCTGTCAATAGTATTTGGATTTGATGATAAATATTCTAAAGATTTGAAATGTAAGATGAGATAAAACTACAATCAAACGCTTCTTCTTTTTTCAACTCATTATAGAACTATCAAACATAGTGTAAAAGAGTTGAAGGTGGTAGGGTCATAGAGTAGTCCTTCGCATATACCACAGAAAAGTCACTGTAGACGTAGCGCCTCCAACGGAGGAGAGGGATGGGAGGCTCTAGCTGGCGCTTCACAATACGTACGGGAAGTTGGGTTGGAAGGAACTGACTGCTTTTTCTAAACTACACGAAGAGGATCTATAAATACTAGCTACAATAGAGACACATGACCAGCACGTGTTTTCCGCGCACAATAGATATCCGAGTTTGTTTTATTATAATACTGAAGATTCATTCTTAATTTGATAGTGACTAGAGCGCATAATACTACATGCGTGCCGTCGTGATATAGGCTATACTTTCTTCAATTTAGCGATTAACACTCGTAGTAAATCTAGTTAACAATGATATGATTATAGTAATCTCATCAAATTGTTTGTAATAGAATCTATAAGTGCGTGTATTATAATCTTGCTCTATTCAACTCTAATGTCTGTATTATCAAACCCCCAGATCTCTCTTCAAAATATCCGCTCCCTTCTCAGCTACCGCATAAACAGTACTCAAGACATTCCCACGAGGCTCAATCGGGATAACACTCGCATCACAAACTCTCACATTCGCCGTTCCATACACAACCAAGTTCTCGTCAACAACCCCATCCAAATCCTCACTCATCATAGCACATGTTCCTACAGGATGGTAATTCGTCGCTCCATATTGGCGAATGAAGCGTGTCACTTCCTCTACGCTCGTGGCATGACGAGGAAACCCACTCGGTAAAGTGTTGCCACCTGGCTTGAGAAGCGCAGACAGCTTGGGCTGTTCCAGCATTTGGCCGATTTGGATGATGTGGCGAGATAGGATTTCGGCGTCAAGGGGATGTTCGAGATAGTTGATTTTGATTTCAGGATACTTGCTGGGGTCGGCAGTCGTGATATGGGAGCTTCCACGAGAGAAGGGGTAGGAAAGCATAGCTAGTATGGTCATGTAGTTCCCTGGTGCTGGTGCAGTACTCGGAGTATATCGTTGTTTCCGTGTCATGAAAACTGTTGAGGATGCTTCTTCTGGGTCGAGGATTATGCGCTTGATGATATCGTGCTGAGCTTTTAGTCCTTTGCTAGACGTTGATGAGGTTTCTAGGAGGATCTTGTTGACGAGAGACGCCAATTCGCGTTCTTCTTCCTCTGAGTTGAAGGCCTTTAGTGGCAAATAGGAGAAACTATATGCAGCACCTTCTGCAAGCCGACCTATGTGCTTGGCTTCGTACAGTTTCTTGGCGGCTTCAATTATTGTGGGATCACGGGCAGAGACGTCTGCTGTTTCGATATCATCAAATACTTCAACGGAAGGCCCAAAGTTCAGATGGTCTTGAAGATTTTCTATTTTCACACGTAAGCATCATATGAGTAAATTTGCCTAGCAGCCATTCTTACCGCCGACACCCTCGAGTTCACGAAGACATTCGATACCCGCAGTAGCAAGTCTTTCACGTTGTCCAATTCCGGATAGCTCCAGTAATTTTGGTGATCCAAATGTCCCAGCACATACCACGACTTCTCGATTCGCATGAGCAATCACAGTTTCCCCATTGTCTTGGCTGTAAAGAACACCTATTGCAACAGCCTTACCGTTCCTCTTCTCATCTCCAAAGATAATCTTACTCACCAGCACGTTACTTTTGACAACAAGATTATCTCGTTTCGTGGACGGCTCCAGAAATGCGACCCCAGCATGGCTCCTTTCACCTTTGAAAGAATCAATAGCATTCGTCGTCGTAGACCCTCCCAGAACATCTCCCTCAACTGGGTTCTTCGACGAGCTATATCCCAGATCTTGGATCGCATCCGTCCAAGCTTTCTGCATCGGATGTAACGTCACAGGGTAGGAAGCTTGGATTCCCTCCTCATACTCGCTCTCGTCATGCCTACAGACATATCCACCTTCCATCGCGAAGTCGCCAATCTCCAACTCTCGTTTAACCTCCTCGCCAGGTGCTTGCAATTTTTGAAACCTCGTATAATACTTCCCAATCCCTTCCCAATCCCAACCTTTCCCAGCACCCACCAAACTTCCCCACGCATCATGATATGCGCTCGACGGATACACCAATGCATGCGAATTGATCGCACTACTCCCACCCCATAGCTTTCCCCGTGGCTGCAAAATCACTCTACCATTCAAACCCTGCTCCGACACGGTCCGGAATCCCCAATCATAATTCTGGTTTCCAAGTAATGAACCAGCAAGGCCTGGGGTACTGACTTTGGGGTCTGAGTTGCGATTTTGACCTGCTTCGAGTACGAGAATACGAAGAGTGGGGGTAGAGGAGAGGCGTGCTGCCACGACGCTACCTGCCGTTCCACCGCCGACGATTATTACGTCAAAGGTGTCGACGTCTTTATTTTCCAAAGACATGGTGAGACCAGGAGCTAGTATTGTTTACACGAAGACAAAATTTGAGCTCGAAAGTATCCTGCCATCGCAATGGCGATGTAGTAAGAGATGAGAGATGGCGCTTAACCGCCCAGGCACCAGCTTACTTCCACCTGCCG